GTTTTTAGATGGTTTCAAGATTGGGATAACAATTTGTGATTTCCACGATGAGGGGATAGTCCCCGTATTCAGTATGTAATTATATAAGTTAAGTAAAAATTTTAATCCGGTCGAGCTGAGATGCGAAGCAAATGTGTAAGGAATATGATCTTCCCCTGGAGAAGAATCCTTTAGATTTTTTAAAGCCAAGTTAAGTTCAGCCAGAGAGAATTCGCAGTCAAATCTATCCTGAATCTGGCTTGAAGGATGGGGGAGGGGCGGCTGTTCAATTTCAAATGGAACGAAGGGAGGAGCCAACTTATTAGCAAATGATTCCAACCATATGGTGGGATCATTTGATGATGGAGAGGGACCGACAAAAGAACCACGGAAGCGTTTAATACTACGCCAAACCTTAGAAGGAGCTGTTGATGGAGAAAGACTTTCACAAAAACTATGCCATCCTGATTTTTTTTTGTTTTTGAAAAGGCGTTTAGCCTTAGCCGATATTTGTTTATAAATAAGAAAATTTTCCGTGGACATGTTCAGATTATAATTTATTTCTGCTCGTTTTCTAAGTTTTATTATTTCTGAACATTCGGCGTCCCACCACGGGGGAGATGATAGGTTACGTTTTGATGAACGAATGATTGGAATATTACTAGTAGCCGCCGTCACTAATGCGTCTGTGAAAGAAGAATACAATTCCTCAATGTCTGGTCTGTGATTGACATTTAGAAGGCTCAGTTGTCTGTCCACATCTTCTGAAAACTTGATCCAATCTGCCTTACGCGTATTGAATTTGCGGAATGAAGGAATAAAAGGAGCTGGGATGCAGGTGTCAGGTTTGGAGATTATTAAGGGGAAATGATCACTACCATAGGTTTCCAATGTTGACTTCCATGATAGAAGGGGAGCCAAAGATGTAGAACACATTGAAAGATCCACAGCTGACCTCGAGTCTTGATTGGGGTATACTCTTCTGGTTGGGCTACCATCATTTAGGATACACACATCTAGTTCATGAAATAAATCTATTAAATGAGGAGAGAATGAATCACAGTAGTAGGATCCCCATGATGTATGATGAGTGTTAAAGTCACCCAGAATTATTACAGGACTAGGTAAGTTTTTAAGCGTTGCTTCTAAATCAGAAATGATGGAGATATGAGGGTGAGGTAAATAAATAGAAACAAAAGTAATGTTCATTACTCTTGCTGCTATGATATTAAATAGGTCATTGTGGGGAGGAATAGGAAGTTTGGAATAAGTGAGGTTTTGTTTGATTAGTAGGGCACAACCATCATAACCATCAGCTTTGTCATCCCTGAGGCAGGCAAAGCCACGTACCCGGAATCGGGCTTCTGGCCTCAGCCAAGTCTCAGAGATGGCAGCAACAGTCACGTGGTATTTATTAAGCAGATATTGGAGTTCATGTAATTTTGGTTTAATACTTCTACTGTTCCATTGTAGAAAGTGGCAGGTGTTCGTCATTGGCGGTGATGGAGCCATTTTTGGGTAGAAGACTAGTTAAGATATTGAGTTTTTGTGCAACGTTGGGCGGTAAGGCGTCATTAAATCTGAAAAGTATGTCTGTAAGTAGAGAAATAATGTGTTCTAAGAATCTGTCATCACTAGATGAAGAGTATGGATTTTCTAAATTACTGCCGTTAGGTATCGTGGGAGGGGGTTCAGATATAACGGCTTGGTGAGCAGATCGATCATATCCTTTGGTGAGAGAGGGTCTTTTCCTAGGAGGGAGTGGGATAGTTTTGCGGTATGAAATAGATGAGGAAGGTAAATGAGAGTAGGATTGAGTTTCTAGAGTCTGGGGTTGTAATGATGTGGGGGCTTTAGGGGATTTCGATACATCAGAATAAGGGCGACGTACAGGGGCAAAGCGGGCAGAAGCGTCCAAATATGAGACATTTTCTTGTGACATTATAATTTTAATATTGTGTTGTCTAGCAAACTCTGGGCATCCTCTGTCTGTGGCAAAGTGACCACCAGAGCAGTGTAAACAGGTGGCACAACTTTCAACAATGGGACAGATTTCTCCTGAATGTTCCTTGGTACAACGATAACACCTGGGTTTGGATCGGCACTGAGTTTTAATATGGCCGAATCTACAGCAATTATGGCACTGAATTGTCGGAAGCTGGTATGTTTCTACAGGAAGAGAAGTTGAGTAGCAATATATTCTCTTAGGGAGCAGCTGCCCTTCAAACGTAAGTACTACTGTTTGAGTAGGGGTCCAAGTAATTTTATCATTTACATAGGTTTTTCTATTCAGTCTTCTGGCTTTGAGGATTTTCCCACTTGTCTCCGGCAGATCAACTGATTCAATAAACTCATCAAGAGACCAGTCGACAGGAATGTTTCTAACAACACCCATACGAGTTATGTTATATGTTGGTATAGATGCCTTGTATTTATGTCGAATAATAAAGTCTGAGGATACAAATTTGTTAGCTTCCAAACCGGTTGTAAATTCTATTTCAATCCTATTTCTTCCTACGTTCCTAATGCCACCTTTCACTATATTTTTGATGCCATGTTTATGTACAGTTTGACCAAATTTAATAGGACGGATAGTAGTACCAGCAGCAGGGTCAGGTTCAGACCTACTGACGTGTACAACAAAGGGACCACGATCGTCTTGGCCATATTTACGGACTTGCGAAAGGCTAGGGTGTGTGTAAATTGTTTGAACTGAAACTGAAGTGTCTATATCATTGTCGTTTCTCGTACGTTTGTCTAAACCTGAGGTAGATTCCGTCGGTAACTTATGTTTCCGAGAGTCAACTTTATCCGGTAAAGAATGAGATTGAGAGAACATAGGTGGAGATACAAATTCGATGTCTGGTGGATCTGGGGGGTCAGGAGGGTCAGATTCCATATTGACTTTTAACCTAACAACCGTCTATTTAAGTATTAAATTGTTATCTATATAATACGTGTTATAAGTAAGATCTATTATGTTAACTACTTACATAAAACACTTACCTATGTATTGTTAGTAAGAAATACTGAATTTAGAAAAGAAAGATTATCAAAAGTTGGCAGAAAAACAAAAACAAATCACAAACACGTGTGTCAACCACTTCGAAAACAACAGAATCCTTATTAATGGCTTATCTGCGCATTTCGCACAATTCTGCCAATGTCAAGTAAATAAATTAGTTTCTACATGTAAAATGAAAATGAAATGAATCAGAATTAATTCATGATGTTAAACCAAGGAGAATACAATTGTCAGTCTTGTTATGGATCTGATAACTCGGATTAATATCGAGTTGAAATTTAATTAGTTCAAGTTACGCAAACGCAACTCGATTAGTACAAAATAATATTTGAATAAATTTATTTTTTATTTGTATAGAAGAAAACGGAAACAAACATAATGGAAGTGAGCGCAGAGGTGTTTTTAAATTTATGGAACTGACTAATATATTGCCAAGATGGTAGAACCGAGGCCGATAAATTAAAAAAAAAAATAATCTAGACAAAAAGACACTATAAATTAAAGACTAAAGATTTGTTACTCATAATAGATCTCGTTCATATTGAAACACCAAAAACCAAACACTTAAATTTGGTCATGGGATGGGTGACCAAAACATTATTATCTCTAGCTACTCCGTGCTTCGGAAGGCACGTTAATCCGCATTGGGGCTAGGAAGGCCTGAGCCCCTGCAGTGGGGACGTAAAAGGGCTCGTGATGATGACGATGATGATGATGATGAATTTTCGATTAAGAAATCATAATCGATAGTAACTGATTATTTTAAAAATCGATTCCGCACACCACTACATGAACTGCATGATTGAGAATTCTGTGATTGACTGTTTTTCCCAGGCTTACCAACTTAGGGCTTTTAGCCCCAAATTTAGGGCGGAAATAAACTGATTGGGCTTTTTTTAGGGCTCAAGAAAATTTAGGGCTAATTTTAGTGCTAAAAAAATTAAATAAATTAATAATAAAAATCAGTTAGTGTCTAAATTACCCATGAAATCTTTTCGTTTGGTTTAAAATAGATTGTTTACGACATACAAAAAACTTTATTTTCTCTTCGAATTCGACAATGGATGAAACGTTAAATTATTTGACAAAACAGGTACCAATTATTCATAATATAGAAGCAAATGTTTAGCTGGACGTGTGTGTATGTCTGTAGGCTACCTATGTAGTATATTGCTATGGCTTCAATATGACATTTTTTAATCTATTTGCATTTTCTGTAATTTTATTTTCGTGTCATGGTTTATCACCTTTTTTGTATTGGTTTTAGTCATAAAACATAGTATGCTTTCTGGCTTCGTTCATCAAATAGATTCGTCATCGGATGCTTTAAATTATTTAAGTATATTTCGCACCAAATGTTCCATGATTATACAAAATGTGCTTGGCCCATCTCTTTTTAGTGAACTAGTAGAAAAGACAGGAGAGTTTCGTGTATTAGAGTGCGGTTTTATTTATATAAAAAAAAAACAAATCGACCTTTTTTAGATTAACAAAATTATTTGAATGCTATTCAAGTAATTAATACCAAAAAAAATATTAGAAAATAAAACGGAGGTCTATTTTAATAACCTTAATTAAACAGTTTTTTTAACTATACAATTAATTTTTTTTTAACTAGATAAGTAGGAAGTAGGCTTTATTGGGGCTTTTGATTACACCATTCAGGGCTATTTAGGGTTATTTGAGTTAGGTTTTAGGGTTTTATTTTTTTGGGAGTTGGTAACACTGGTTTTTCCTCATAAATTCTTAATGTTCTTAAATTGTTGAAGTGAAGTGAAGTCGTATTGTCTGGCTGGCTTAAAAAAACTAGGTGTTTAAAAACATTTATCTAAAGAGTCGCAAGGGGGACTTTGCTGGTTCTTATAGTGAGTATTTTAGTGATAGTTGTATTATTTTTAATACGTAAATAGTGCAATAGTTATGTACTCTTGCAAACTAAGTACCATTTTATTGATTTGTAAATAGTTCGCACTATTTAATTTTAGATATCGTGATAATGGAACTGCTAGATGTTATGAAAAACTTGACTATACAAAGTGAGGATGATTGCGCATTACTATTTAAATCTGTATCAGCCACTATTGATGATACTGCTACTGAAATTATTCTTGCCGAGTATCGGAATAAAACCTTGCTTATTCTATCACAGTATGAAAAAATAGGAAGTTTGTTGTTGGTGGAAAAGGACCAAGTTTATGGTTCTCTAGGTACCAATAATGTTTATACAACAAAAGTTATTTTTGGTACCACAGGAGAGAGTCAACAAGTTGCAGGGAGATATCTGGCAGAAGGATTAAATATTACTCAACCACTTTGCCTGTTTATGAATCTCAAATCATATGATATTGAAACAGTAAAAGCTTGTAAAGATATAATATTGGATATTAAACAGAATCAAGAATGTCACAAGGAATCATAAAAAAATTTAAAACAATCAATAAATGTTATGGACAGTTAGTTCTTGGGCCCCCAGGTGCAGGTAAAACAACATATTGTAATAAAATGTCCGAGTTACTGATGAATCTTGGTAGAAATGTTGTGGTGGTAAATCTTGATCCTGCTAATGATTTGATGGCCTATAAGCCTGGTATTGATGTCAGAAATTTAATATGCCTCGAAGATGCTATGGTTCAGAATGAACTAGGGCCTAATGGTGCCCTGTTATATTGTATGGAATACCTAGAAAGAAATTTAGATTGGTTGCTTGGACAAATTCAAACTGATAACCCAACATACTATATTTTTGATTTACCAGGGCAGGTGGAACTTTATTGCTATCACAATAGCCTAAGTAATATCTTTGCAAGGCTGACCAGTGATGCAAATCTTCAACTTTGTGTCATACATTTAGTTGATTCACATCATTGCTCTGATGCAGGCAAGTTCATTGCTGCCCTAATGTTGTCTTTGAATGCAATGCTCAAAATTGGACTGCCTCACATCAATCTTTTAACAAAAACAGATTTACTGCAAAAGCATATGGATAAACTTCATTTTGGAATAGATTTTTACACTCAGGTTTTGGATTTGAATTATTTACTTGATTGCTTAGACGCAGATGTATTTATGAATAAATATAAAAAGTTAAATAGTGCTTTAGTTTCAATTATTGAAGACTATAGTTTGGTAACATTCCAGTTAGTGAATGTGATGCAGGAACAAAGTTTGCTTAATGTTAAAAACCTCATAGATAAAGCAAATGGATATGTATTTAAATGTGATGAAGGTAGACACATTAACAGTATGCTAGCCTGTGCTATGGGTGTCAGTGATTCCAATAATTATGATATGTTATAATAAATAATGCATTAATTAATATTGTGTTTTATTATGAAAATAATATTGAATAATTTTGGCATAGTCACTGTGCTAGTAAACCTCTTTCAAAATTATGAAGAGAAAAAGCTTGATAATTCAGAAAAAACTGTATTCTTTATTGAAGCTCTCAAAAAATTCCACCACTTGAACATCACCCCCTGAAAAGACTAACTGTAAATATCGTAGCTAACATGATTCCAAGAAGACTTTAACGTCATTATCCTATGGTATATTCCATAGATATACAAGTGTAACATTAAAAATAGTTTCTTTTCACTAAAATGGATGTTTTCATATATGTTTTAGTTTCAGACTTTCCCATACGGACTGCTTATAATGTTACAACTCTGCGTGTTCGCGAGCGTGTGTGCGTGCGTGTGTGGTATATTCAAACGTCTAGTGATAAATGCGTGATAAATAATTTCCGAGTGGAAAGTGTAAGTTTTACGCTAACATGTTCACTAGTGAGCACGTTAAGAATTTGTATGGAGATTTGTAGTTCCATAAAACCGTTTCTGACCCGTGGAACACCAAAGTGGTTCACCTAAAAACGCGGTCACGATCGATACAGCCTTAATAGTTGTAAGGCATTAAGAAGGGATCGAATTTAAAGACAATCAGTCAATTCGAGAAAAACATCAAATTATATAAGTTCCGTAAATTGCTAATTTGCTGGAACCTTGACTAAATAAAATTTGCGTGACGTCATTTAAAAATGTAAAGTATAGATAGCAAAAGATGCTAGAGACATATTATTTCTTAATTATTGAAATATTTATATGTAATCTCTAAAAAGTTGATAAAATAATTTAATAACTATGAGTTTATCAATTTTACTGCATTAATTTTTGGCAATAATCAATTTATATGTTAAATAAAAATGAAATACATGGAAAATAAAAAAAAAGAAACTTCGTACCTAATAACGCGAGAACAAACGGAAAGGACATTCTTTTAAAACATACCCAAAAGTAATAATGGAATGAGAGAAATTAGGTTTACTTGTCGTGAAAATCATAATAGCAGTTATCATTTTAGTCAACCATAACAAGTAAAAACAAAACTTAATAATAAAAATCTGATTGTTGAACGCAATAGCGGCAAGGTGCATTAACAATTCGGGTGGAATATACTATAGCTATTCTGTTACACATTCTAGATTTGATTTAGTTTTCAATTCTCTTAACAACTAAACTAAACTTGAGTAGCTTGATGGCGTAAGTGCCGCAGCCAGCGATCGTTCTTTGTGGCCACAAAAAATATATCGAGCTACTTCGTGTTTCGGAAGGCACTTAAGTCGTTGGTCCTGGCTGCATTAGCAGTCGTTAATATCCTCCAATAGGCCAACGTGGAGGGTCAAGGCCTATCCGCCTTAACCATCCATAGAAGCCTGAGCTTTTGCAGTGGGGACGTAAAAGGGCTGATGATGAAACAACTAAGATAAAAGACAAATCTATTTATATTTCAAGGAGTATTTTTATATTATCGCATTAAATCAGACTCTTGGGTATCGTTAAATAAACATATTTATTTTTTCAAAAAAGCTTTTACTTTAGAAAAGTGGTACAACAGAATTAACACTAATACGGGGGGAAGAAATACAAGGATAAGACAAGACGGCTCTTAGTAGAATATACTAAAAACAAGTTAAAAAATCCTTTTATTTCAGAATGTACAGTTCCCAAAATGCCCACTTCCCGAGATGTCAAATTCCTGAAACATCTAATCTAGGGAATGCAATCTCGTTCTCGCGAGTTTAACGAGATTGAACTCGGCCATAAAAACGATTTATTCTAAGTGCGGCAGCGTGAATTTATACGAGTCCGGGGGGTTAAAAGGCGAAGTTTTACATTTTTACAGTACTTGTGTTTTCGAAAGGGTCTTCTCAATGGCTAATTATCTGGCCAGCACAATAATAAGACGAATAGTAAAGATTCTTTAGACATTTTGTGCTTCTTAAGAAGCTACTTTCAAAATTATTCGTAATAATGACGCGTGAAGTGAACTGAATCCTTTAAATTGATTGGTATATTTTGTTAATTTATTCTATAGTTTCTTAAAAGATAAGTACTAGGACGACTAAGCTTTACTCGGCACTTTTATTAAATAAAAAAAATTAACCTAACTTAATCGAATTATCGCCTGTGAGAGCCCCTGCATACTTAATACAGTTCGACCGTCCAACTCTTTTAAAGGTTTTATATAAAAATAATAATCTTGCGTCAAACAATTTTAAATACATAAAACTTTATTGAAAATACTCTTTAAAATAAATGTTTATTTCATAATACCAATATTTTTTTCCTAATTGATTCAAATATTGTGATTTGAATAAATATTAGGGTAAAACAGTAAACACACAAAAATGTCAATCTCGCGAAATTGCATTCACTGATCCAATTTGCTATCATGGTTCTATTGAATATTCAGATAAAAAATATGTATAAAGGTTCCTGATGTTATTTAATATGTACTTCAAAAAAGGCTGTACAGGCCTTACTGAACTAAGTTGCTACATAATATTAACTATGTATTCACCTATGATACTAGATGGGCTATTTCGGTAATTAGACATTTACCTTTGTTCTCACTAGTCCGATCGTCTGACAAGTGAGAATAATTTCCCCATTAGTTCGAACGTATATAACTTGTGAGAATGTTTTTTCACAGTAGTTCGACCGTCGAACTGTTTTAATAATTTCGTAATAAATTAAAAACGTATGGTTCGTTAAAAATATATATTCGTTATACACTTATCTTTGGCCAAAACAGTTGAAAAACTTAAAAATTAAATGCTGGCTTCCTAACAGAGTATAGACAGAGTAAATACAAATAGTTTACACAAATCATTGTCATATAAGCTCTAAAAGAAGAAAAATTGATTTACTAAATGACGTTCTATAAAACGCCCAAAACTAATTTGTTTAACCAAGCGTTTTTAATTTATTACGAAATTCTTAAAACATTTAAATATAAAAGGACTATTTTTAAATCTAAATTAGTTCAACGGTCGAACTAATGGGAAAAAAATCTCGCTAGTCCGACGATCGAACTAGTGAGATCAAAGGGATATTTCGGCCTTTTGATACTTTGAAACCGTTGGACATTGAAGGTTCAAAAAGTGCACTTACGCGTGTAATGATGTTTATCTTTTTTTACAGATGTCTAGTAGTAAAAAAGGAATTTACGAGAAACTTTTACAAACCGAAACGGAGATCGATCAATTATTGGAAGACGATAATAAACGAATTCAAGTGCAACTTTTACATCAATATAATGACATAAAAGATGCTACTCAAATTGTTATAAACCATATCGCAAATATAGAAGGGACCACAGTTAGCGACATTCATAAGAAACTTGGACTTATTGAAAGAAAATAAAACCCATGCCTAATTATGGAACGTTTTATTTGAAGACAAATACAACTCTTTACAATTTAATTTTACCAATATTTTTGTTGTTCATAAACTAAATGAACTTTTTTAATTTTACATTGCAGGTTTACGTACTTAAGTTATAAGTGTTTTCAAAAAGCCACGGTTCCACCTTTGCTACTTCAATTACGAAAAAGGTTATTACATGACAAGTATTTCTAATATATTTTGATTATATGTTGACAATATTAAATGACCTTTGTCAGCAAACAAGTTTAAAATGTAATAGGATATTATACTGCTCAATAATCTAAAACTATAGTGAAAATGGATTTAAAAGAAAAATAAAATCTAGCTCCTTGAATCATCACTAACGTTACATTTCAATAAGTGAGAAAAGTAGCTTGAACATGGTGAGTTAAAACAATTTTACAAATCACCAAATACAATTAATAATAGATAGTAAGGTTCCACAAAACCATTTTATATATTGAGAAAATATTACCATTTAGGTAATAGAATGTGCTCCCTCTAACATGCTTTATTGCTGTTACACATAATTCCTAAACAAATCAAAATACATTGAAGTTAAAATTCTAAACTCTACATATTGTGTTTATTTTAATAAGCAAGCAATAATATACAAATGTTTAAATGTATAATAATATAAAGTGCTTATCGCACTAAGCGATAGCTAGCGAATACGTAGCAGAAGAGCATTCGTATGCAAGTTTGAATGCTCGTGTTCAAAGGGCCGTATGCCCGCCGTCCTCCGGCACTCGGAGCGGCAATGTTACGATGTCGATGCATTATTATGTTCATTGGCAAATGTCGTTGGAACAGCGCTGTGGCTGCTGTGTACGTGTGATCGTATTTTGATTGTTAAAATCAATTATACTATATGTTATTGTAGCAAACATATTTGTCTATGTTCAGGCCAGGATATAAGCGTTCCAAAATTGTAAAGTCTTCATTATGTTCCATTCTCGACTGGTCTGAACTGTTCAATCAATTATAAAGTTCGTGTTATACAAATGGAATGTAACAGTTTGTCATTAATTGGAACAGTTTTACACCAATCGAGTTCTTCAGAGCAAGACTTTGTCTCGATTTTTGTTAGTCATTCCCGCTAAATTTAAGTATAACAATATAACAAATTTACAAAAATACATATAAGATGAAGAGCATTCGCAAAATTGACATTTCGAAAATGCATATAAATATATCACTAAAAAATCTACGATTTCCTATCGAAATAATACCCTATAGGATGTGAAATTATCAAAATGCGAATGCTCATTCAGTTTTTAAATGTCTATCGTTAGACTTAAATCTATGAGTTTCAGACTCGTTTCAGGCAGTCCTATAGATTACAGAGCACCAACAATCATCCAATAAATGCAAATTCTATACTAATATTATAATGCCTCTTATTATAATGTCCCCAATGAGTGATTGATTATTTTGAATAAGTCAACCGTAAACTTTAATAACAATAGGTTGAACCTATTGAAGCACAACTTCAATAATAAATTAACACAACTTGTTATCATATTGCTTAATTTCAATCAATTGATCAAATAATTTTGATATTTCTAACAGGTATTATAATAATCAGTTAATAAATTTTACCATACACACACACACTACAGATTTATCGAGAATCCCCAAAAACAAGTCTGAAAACAATTTGGTTTAGTCTACAAAATCACTTATATGATAATAAAGATCATACATAAATACACAATAATGTACTTTAGTGAATGAAGCCGACAAAATAAATCAACATCCTGAAATCCTTAAAGAGAATATTGCTAACGAAATATGAATCGAGAATTTCGAATCGTAAGATTAAATAGACCAAACCAAGCTTAAAATAAAATTATGATTTGGTAAATTGTAAATATACTATGTGTAAATAAATAATGTTGACTCAGTACTTTCTATGCTTAAAAAGAACATGTTATTTACTAAGTCATCTCACTTTTTCAATTAAACGTGACTTAACAATCAACATTAATTTATTAATATATATATTCTAATTATCACTTGTCTGTCAGATAACGGGTGCTTTTAGGTTCTTATATGCCTAAGAGATACAAACTACCTCAAGTAATAGAACCTACTATCTCCACCTATTCTGTTATATGCGTGACTTTATTTAATTACGGTATTGAATGTACTTATATCCGCAACATATAACAAAATGGTGGGTGTTGTCTTATTAGGGATTATTCGGGCTTAATAAGCCTTTTTTGTCGATAGTGTTTAATATTATTATTAACTGTACACAATAAGTGTCAATTAAAGTAATATAAAATCAGTCTCAAAATTGGGAAGTCTTTAAGATCTTTAGGCACGTATACTTTTATCGATGGATGAGCATCTTACAGATGACAAAATCTAACCAATAGATTATGTTATTCTGCCGTTTACAAGTGTATTATAAATACGTGCTATAACTATTTCTTATAACATGTCAATATTTCCCAAGTTGAATTATTACAACAGTATTAAATTCAATGATGGCTAGTGAACAAAATACAATGACATTCTCGTAAATCTTCGTTTTAGTTGAAAAAAAAAACCACTTGCGATTTTATTTTATTTTTTTAAAGTCACTAGCTCATTGTGATGTATGGCTGAATAACGTGATGTATGGCAATGATAGCTTTCCTCAATAGTGAAGGTATTGCAATCTACATATAAGAAATGAAATCAAAAAAACAAGGAATACTCGTCTCTACTGGCTGAAGTTAAAAATAAAACTGCACAAAATATAAGGAATGTTACCTTTAACAATAATACTTAGTTAGATACAGGCGCATCACCTTGACCCATATGCTCTTCTTCTGATTTGGAGTCTTGCTCTGTCATCTAAAATATATGATTATATTTGAAAACAAAAATACGTTTTATATTAACATTGAAAGTTAGAGAGCGGTTTGTATGAGGAAAGCTCGGCGTAAGTCCTGTGGTTCTGTTGTCGTCAGTGGTTTGGTTTGAAGTCAATAATTATTCGATGGTCACCTTGTTCTTATCGAGCGGCCCATTAGCCTCCAGAGTTTGGGCAACATCAGTCTTTTGATTGGAACTCTTCTTTTTTCCCTTTCCAATATTTTTCTTCACATTCTTAGCAGTCTTATTTTTTTGCATTGGACCTCCTGTTTAGAAAAAAAAAGTCAATTTTTAACAGCAATAATTATATAAAAGAATCCAACTCCTAACTAGTCTCCAAATGATGGAAAACAAGTCAAGTAAAAATATATTTTTTTATTTCCTTGCCGATAGTAGCAGTTGATGGCCAACGGTTTGAAAATGTTCGTTTAGTGACGTGATATATCTCAATATATTGCTTACTTTTTACTTATTTTTCACACCATGTAATAAGTTTAAAAAAAGCCAGATAATTATTTTTAAATTCGTTCTATGAGAACTACCACAATGCGATTCAGACAGTTCAATGACATACATAATTTTACATACATACGGGTCAAATTAATAACCTCCTTTTTTGAAGCCAGCTACGAAAAGTAAGTTAGCAAGGTAGCTTTATATTTTGTATGAATTTGCATATGAAAAATAGAGATAGAAAAACACATGTACTATGAAAAATACTGTTTACCTTCAGCTTCATTATCGACAGCTGAATTATCCTCATGCAGACTTCCATCATCAGCCTGAATGCCGATATCCTCAGGTCTTACAGTTTTCCTAAAAACATTCAATTAATAAAAGTTTAAATAATACACTTTATGGTGAAATGGCCTATTTAAAGCATTTGACAAAACAATAGAATCAATATGCTCCAAATAACGTAAAAAACTAAAAATGTCAATAAACACGAAAATTCAAGAATGCCTTTGCATATAATGTTTGACGTGATATTGATTATATTGGAAATTTAATTTATGTTTCAGTGCATGTTGTGACTGCCTATAATAAGGTAGTTTCGGTAGGGAAAAATATTTTGAACAAAAACTAAAATTGACTTCTTAATGAACATAGAGATTCTGATTTTAAGTCTCAAAAAAACATAATTATCTTACAATAAAAATTCATGATTTTTTGTGTGTTGTTGTCATTATCACGTGACTTGAAACACAGTCCGCCATTGTGTGACTGCTGTTAGATTAGTGTTAAAGATATGCTCATTAATTATAAATCAAATCCCCTAGATAGCGCTGTGCTTAACTTATTTGCTATCTTTATATTTCGTGATCGATCGTTAGATGGCGTTCTTCTTCATTCTATGTATCTGTTTTGTGTACATATCACAATGCCGTCATGAATATTACGATTCGCGTTTTCGCGGGTATAAAAGTTTAAATTTTGATTTAATTTTAAGGCAAGAAAACGTGATTATTTCTTCGAAATATTTACTTTATGGCTTTTTAATTTATGATAAACGGCTACAAATATTACTTCAAACAGAGTTAGAATATCCTATCGATAAGGCGCTTAAAACTTTGTAAATTGTAAGCTTAATATAACTGTATGCAATAGTGTACTTATTGTTGGCTGTCCTAATAAATAAAATAAAATAAACTCGCTTACCCGTTGACGCTGATGGTGGCGGGCTTAGCGGGCTCGTCGTGGTCACGCCGTGGGCGGCGACCACCGCGCGGCGCGCTACCGCCACGACCGCGACCGCGACCGCGGCCACCGCGCGCGCCGCGCCAGCTCCTGCCGCCGTATGCGTTACGCGGTTGGGGCGTGTAGCCCACGTAGCTCACCTATGTAACCATCGCGCATTTGTCGTTTATAAAAAAGGGATGTAGAAAACTTTGTTTTTAGATTTTTATAAATATATTCATGAAATCTAAAAAATATTTAAAAAATGTATCATTAATATAATGAGTTAAAATCTAAAAATAAATTTCATTTTCAATCACGTCACGAATATTGTATGCATAAGGCTGAATTCTCTAAGTTCTGATATGAGAAAGAAGGTCGTAATGTTACGCGCTATTTGCAGTCACGTGACAACCAGCATAAAATATTTGTTTTTTCATAATTAATTTAATCAATAGTATATTTAACAAAACCAGAAAAAAAAATATTTAATGAAACTATAAGGGTTAAGGGATATTGTTTACCATGAAACCCTAAAAAGCAGACATAGTTGTTCAGATTACACGATCGTGAAACATCAGTATAATAAGTAAACTTAAAAGTTATTTATTACTAAATTATTAGTACAGTTCATAAAAAAATAAGCAGACATAGTTGTTCAGATTTCACGATCGTGAAACATTGTTACAATAAGTAAACATTTGAAATTTATTTATCACTAAATTATTATACTTCACCTGTGGGTACCGTTGCGTGCGCGCTGGGTAGCTGCCGCCGCCCCACTGTCCGACGACGACGCCGGCTATCTCGAGGCGGGCGCCACGTCCTCGGCCGCGCGACCACCCGCCTAACGCCGCGCCCCCCACCACGCCAGCCACTAACGGCAACGGCGGCATAGCGAACTCAACCTCCAAGCCCTCCAGTATTGCTTTGCGCATACGCTCCACCTGAAACACAAAAAAACCGACTCAATAATTTATTGTGTCCATTTGTTGTCAGTTCATTTATGTTTTCAATAGGCTACTTGACAGTAATAATAATAAATTATGAAATATGTTGGAAATAGCTTAATTAATGTTGTCTGTTTTTGTTCTATGTATACTTTGTATTTTTTGTTTTAAATAAGTTGTATTTGTATTTATAATCTGTGGATTACATGAACCGAAATGCGGGTGGATATGACCGAGCATCATATGACTTCACATTTCAATAAACTAAACATCAACATCTTCATTGCAAGTGAATGCACCCAGTAAAATTATATGTGATGTCTAATAGTGGTTCAATACAATCATATTATTTAAAGTTTTATAATACTTTTCCCAAACTAGTCAAGTATCCAATTTTCGCGTTAAAATCTTATCCCGATAAACAAAATTTTAAGTGATATCCAGCTATAAGATAAATAATTACAATATTTAAGAATAATATATAACTAGATGTGTTAAATATAAATTTTCTCACCTTAACAACGGTGTCCAGATGGTTATCGCAGAGCTGAGCAAGGTGTTTGCAATGATTTGCACGATGCAGATTCCGCTGCAACAACTTTCCATCGAAATACAGCCAGGGAGCGGCCACCAGCCAGGGAACTGGTGCACCGCAAGCATCGTTGGCGAGCAAAGCCGCCTCAGCTCCCGCCATCACTAAAGCCCCGAGTTGTACCCCGCGGGAACTAATGCCGTTCACCTATTTCGAATTTTAAATATTATTGATTATTTGACTATCCGTTTTACTACGACTTCACCAGTGAAAATTATAGCTACGTCACCCGCGTATGTAGGAGAAAGAATTTTTAATATATATATAGATAACAAGATCAAGTATAAATAGTGCTTAGATATCAAACTAAGTATAGCTAAATAGCTCTTGTATTATGATAATTTTAAAAAGCGAACATTGACATTCATATCTACATCGATCCAATTAGAAACCGAACTCAGGGCGAGAATTTGAAACGAAGTATTAGCCACTCTGCCATGAAGGTCATCAAATATTTTTATAATGTGCAGCCAGTCAAGATTTTTTACTGCTTTCATTCAACAGCCTACACAAAATAATCATTTGCAAATAATAATTTGATTTGAAACTTAATATGTAATACATAATTAACTTACGGTCATTTCTTGCAAATGAAGGGCATTCATGAGGTCGCTGGAGAAAGCAGTCGCCAAAAAAGCATCTAATTCCTGACGTCTCAGAATTTGAATTTGTGACGTCATAATGAATCTTGAAACAAAAATAAAATATTTAATATCACAATGTGAATACATTTATATCAGGATAGGATATGTTCATATGAAAATAGTTCACTAAGAAATACCAAAAAAGGTATTATAACATACTATCAAGCAATACAGCTGCTCAATGGAGCTATCAGACTTTGTCGATTGTCTTTTTTAATTAAGAGTACATATAGCTTCAAAACAATACTTTTGGACACATTCACAATACATTTTTTTTTTAATTTTATGGAAACATTTACATTTATTAAATTAAATCTTTTTTTTAATAGTACACGTGAAAATATATGAATCAGTATCAATGCGTTTCCTAATTTGCAGTATTATTGTAGTTTGTATGTGAATCACATACTAATTGCTCAAAATAACAATTATAATATAGTATCTATGATATACAGTATTACCTTATATGCTAAATAATATTAAACAGGTTCTAAATCGAATAAAAAACATTAAAATTACCTTAGTACGGTGGCCAGTATTAGCAGATGTTGAGGCACATAGGATGTGTTTAACATCAATGGGGTATCAGATCTCATACAAGAGAGGAAAGCGCGCATTCTTCGACATTTGTCGTCTTGAGCAGTTCTGCAATAATTACAAGATTATTCTAATTTTAACTGCATATTATTACTCACATAAATATATGTAATTTGACTAGCATTATTATTTCTTACTGCCCGCCTGCGATTTCGTCTGCAGACTAAACTCGAAGAATTATTTTTATAAATAAATTTTCTCTCATGAAATATAAAGCTCACCCGAACCAAAGCCTCTGTACAGTCGGTACAGGCCAGTCAAGAACGATTCCAGTCACAGCTTCAGAGCTCTTGCCGGGATTCACGCGAGAATAAATCCATTCGGATATCTGAACGGTGCACGGACGATCATTAGCTGCGGAGGTTGTAGCTTGGCCCTCATCTAAAATCAATAGTATCGTATATTAGACTTTTCGCCTTCTTTAAAAATAACATTAAGTCATCAATCAATTACGTTGTAACCACGAGGAGGCCAGTTGACTACTTTTTTATGTTATAAATAAATAGTCCGTTAATATCTGAAAAATAATACAGAAGTAACAGCATCTCTGCAATTAATAGTTTCAGAGATACGATGGTGTGTTTGTGGAACTGCGGCTTTTCGACCGAAAACTCTCCTTAATCTTTGTTAATTGTACGTTTAAGTTTATAATTGTTATTTTGTGATATATTTTCAAAGTTTTGTTATATATGTACCTAAGTATTCAGTGTTCAGAAAATATAAAAGCTCACCTTTAGCCTTCTGAGCCATAAACCGATGGTGGTGCATGTTATACAAAATGGCATAGACATTTTGGCGGATTGGCCTATAGAAGTGATGGATTGATGGTATTTCGCGGTGGTGATCATCTTCCATCAACACGGGCAGGGTCACTTGACGGTGCGTGAGGATTGACAGCATCTGTGGGTGCATAAGACCGCGGGCGTGCCGCTCGGCGCACGTACGAAGCACTTCAGCTGGCGCTGCTGGACAGTTGTCGTCACTTTGAACTTGCTTGTTGCTTATGCGACCCTAGAATGTATTTAAATGGTAAAGTAATCGAAAAACCCATCATTATCAAAATTATATATCATTTTCCATCTGGTCATAAAGCCGAGTGTTACTAACTTATTTCTTAAATAGCCTTACATTTTCGAATAAAAATTTGATTATACAAATTGAACATATTTTACATCCTTCTAAAGAGTAAATCATAATAGCATTCAAAGTATTAGAGTTAGCGAGTATCACGTTTTTTATTCAACAACGATTTTGGCGTAGAAATCCAATATAAAAATAAAAATAGAATAGTACAAAACATAATCGCAAACATATTCGGCTTTTGCCATACAATATTTTATGTTATTATTGGTCACCCCTAATATCTGGCCACCCTTTTTTTGTCGTTGTCGGACTATATTATGCGGATGGCATTCCCAATAAACTTCCTCTGGTGCACCCTCACTTTTGGGGGACGAGCATGGAGTCCCGCAGGGACTGCTGCATACCCAGATCCCGATGTTTGGACCTTATATTCTTTATATAACCTTAATTCTTTATATTCTATAGAATAGAATTACAATAAAAGTATGCAGAACTTCTTTTCAAGTTCCGATTCCATTGAAAAAAACTCGTCATTATCTCTTTCATTTTCCCAAGAATTAACACAGCAATCGTCAAATGTTACTTCCCCAGAACTAAAGGAAATCTTTATGTTTCGGGAATACCACTCAATATGAGGGCTTAAAGTATGATACAAGTAATTGCAGTTATCCTGGAGAAATAATGATGAAGATCGATTCAATGGGTTTCACTGCTGACGTTCGAATTTCGGTATAGTAAACATCTACTGGAATTGACAAACTCTAAATAGTATTTTTGTTCACAAATGAACAACTCATAATATTTACGATTTAATTTTTTCTCAATCACTTAATTGCCAAAACAATAATATAATTTTATTAGGGTTTCATACCCAAAGGATAAAACAGGACCTAAGACTTCGCTGTCTGTCACAAGGCTGTATCTTATCACAGATGGTGTATTTCTGTTGCCGCTTCAACAACAAATACTATAAAGTACAATAAAATAAATATTTTAGGGGGCTCCCATACAACAAACGTGACTTTTGTACAAAACCATTTGTGCGCGAGACCGACTTGCAATTGACACAATCAAAACATTACCAAAAACTTGCCCGTTGTTACTCTTTGTTGACCCCATTAAAACGAGTTGTTCAATTAAATATTTGGGTCACTGGTTATCCGAAAATATGTCTGACAACACAGATATTGAGAGCGCAGGGCGTTGAGTGCGCGTTGTAACATGTTGGCACACAGATTTGCAAGATGTAGTAAATAGGTAAAGTTAACTTCCAATCTGTGGGTTAACTTCACCCAGCGTGCTTTGGATGCATTACGTATCCAATATAATAACGGGTTCAGGCTATTGTTTGAGATGGCGCGATACTGCGGTGCGTCCATTATTACGAACTGATTGCTTTTATGCGATTAATGCCTAAGTGAAGCGGATTCTTGCTAATGCGCGTGCGCATCAGTCGTAACAGTTTCGTGTGTGCGCTCTCTGATCGATGGGAATCGCCGCTGTTGATGCGCGCGATATTTCTGCAAACGGCGACGGCAACCACCCAGCCGATACGTATTTTTTTAATAGTGTTAAATTGGAATAAATTATGAAATTGAAATAAATCAAATAAAATTATTATTTTTACTAACGGTAGAATTAAGTCTAATTATTACTAACACCACATGGGTGCAGAAATCTGAAATAAATTATACTAGCTTTCGCCAGCGGCTTTGCCCACGTGGACCCTAGGGAAATATTTAGTGGGATAAAAAGTATCCTATTATCTAAGTCAGCTAATACCCTATCTGTATACTAAATTTCATCAAAATCCGTTCAGTAATTTCGGCGTGATTGAGGGACAAACATCCAAACAAAGAAACTTTCACATTTATAATATTAATAGGATTATTATTATTAAATATAAGGATCTACGCATGTGCTTATATTATTATAATATCCCGCTTTCTACTTTTGTTTTAATAATATAGTTTGTTTCTGCTGTAATAACTGTGGTTTATTATTTTAGCAAATACCGAAAGATGTCATTCATACATTAAGGCTATTTGTATTTAAGGTGTGGAAATAAATACATAATCTTCATCAGAGTAACTGTTGATAGTGAAAAACGTATATACTGCACCTCTTTGATTGAAGTTTGCGGTTTGTCGTTCTTGTCGACGGGTTTGGCAGATTGTTGACTGTAACAGGCCGCATCACCGCCGTCGAGAGAGAGATTGGCTAAGCCGTGATGTACCTCAGTTGTCTGATCTTCCATGCTAAAATCTGCGTTCATTGACGCATTTGCTGTAGCCAATTTGTAATCTTCCAAGCCTTTTAACTGTAATTTATTCATATCTGTTTTTCAGAGTATCCCAAGTGCTTAGTGGTAATTAAAAAACATACAAGGAATAAATAACCATGGATAAAAAAAAAAAATAAGGACATATGGACATGTTAAAAAGGTTCACACAGCACTGAGACATTTTTTTATGAAATTTAGACCCATGCAAAAGAATGAACAATGGTTTGTCAATATATGCCAATGTTGTTAATGAAGTGCAAAAGGCGTGGATGACCATAGCGATATGAGGTTACATGTTTTTATTGTAAATTATAAACCTCGTGCTCTGATGTCTCTGTAGCCAGCTTGCTTGTATCCATATCTAGGACAGTTGACTGTGGGCTTATTTCTGACTTCTGGCCTTTTTTGTTATTTTTTGGACGACGACCTGTAAAAACTTTTGTTTATTTTTTCACGATTTTTACCAATATAACGTATCATAATCAAACAAAAAACTACCTGTAGCAGTCCTGTACTTCAAGAATCCATCTTTTGTGCCATTTAAATAATACTGCACTGCTTGTTTAAGTTTTGCAGCTCGTAAATCATTAAGATCTCCAAATATTTCAATACAAGCAGCATCCACATCTGATGAAGGCAAATCACGCACAAATTGACACACACTTTTGACTAATGTCTCTGGAGGTACCTGCTATAATAATAACAAAAATTGCAGTGATAATTATGAAGACGATTATAAACAAATATCTCATAAAAAGTAGTCCTTACCTTTTTTTGAGTAATTCCCAAACGTTTATAGAAATCAGTGAGACTTTGTTCAGAAAGGATAGTACCGCCTAGTAGAGCAGCCATGAGGCAAAGACGATCTTGGGGCACATCCAAAACTCGAGGCAATTCATGCACCATATACTCCTTTGTTTCCAAAGAGGACTATAAAGAATTTATTAAATAAGTTTGTTATCTTTTACTGTTGTACATTATTTGCTATAACTTTAAGGTAATAAAAACATATCATTATGAAAAAAATTATACATAAAAATGAAGTATAATTTCATAAATGATATTATTTACCCTGTATGTAAGTTTTAATTGCGACGAGCTGAAATATCTTGGTGGTTGAAATACCAAATATTCTCCAGAACAGCCAACTAACCCTGAGTAACTCTTCTCCCGGCACAGACCAACTACCTCTTGACAGTGATCATCAGAAGATACCATCTGAATGAATGATTGCAAAAATTATTAATCATGGCTGACAAAAATGTATGTATAAATGAAATGTGTCATAACTTACAATGGGTATATTAAGGTATCGAAGAGCTGTCCTCAAGCAGGAATGTAAGCCTGTTGGTGGTACCCACCATACTTTCGGTGGAGGAGTGCCTTTTGTACCAATATGCCTTAAAACCTGCAACGGACAACATTTTCAACCCAAAATCTTCACATATAATAAACTCATGACCCAGCTAACTTGTGAAATGTTAAAATCTGATATAACAATATGAGAACTATGTACATCAAACTTTTTATCCCAATTTTGAGAATGTTTGATTTAGTGTTGATTTTATTTTGAAAATTTGAGATAACCAGAGGGTTATGGGAGTCTCACAAATAAGACTAGCTGTAACAAAGACAAGATGAACCTTAAAAATTATTAAACAAATAGCCTATGCTTTGGAGCCCAACAACACAATTGTTTTCTTTTAATATTGTAATACATAGTATCTTGGTAGTGACACAACTTATTTATTTATTTAATTTTATTGCTAAATTATAGCAAATGGCAAACTTAATGCCATTTAACTTATGTAAATGTTGTGACTTTTGTTAAGAGCTGGTAAGTTTCATAAGTAAGTGCATTCTTATTTGTAATAGAATAATTTAATATTGTCAGATTCCAAAAGGTTTTTAAATATTATGTGTTAACCTGTGGACTCAGATTTCAATAAAAAATTCTAGGAAGTAGCTACAAATGTTTCCTGGGAATTGACTGGTATTAAAGTCACCAATAGATTCTTTTTTTCCTAACCACTTTGAATTCAAAAGACTTGATAATTGCATCGCTATAACAAACAGCTTGTTACAAGTGAATTCTATTGAAATAATACAATATAAGAAACAAAATTATTAAAACATCTATATCAATTAATTCATCTACTATAGTAGATACAGTATTGTGTTGTTTGAGTTATAAAGGAATTAGCATAATCTTTACTCACCGAATTGACCCTCTGTCTGTAAGTTGTTTGAGTTTGAATCCAATGCTGTGGAGTGGCTGGTGGAGTTGGATGGGCACCATTAAAGCACACACAGATAGCAACTTGATGTTCAGCCAGAGCTTGAGCGAGTGTTGTTAAGAATTGTACACAGCGAGCCCATTGTCCTCCGCAAGCCCAATCTGAAAGACATACTATTTGTACTACTTGTATGGATTAATATGATACCTGGCTAGAATGATTTTTGTGGGAAGTGTAATATCTGAAATCCAGGTTTCAATATCTTGGTTCTTGTAAGAAATGTGATCTTCGCTCTAGAAGCAACCTCATTCTCCAAACTTCTTTTCATCATACTGTATTCATTTCAAAATCCTTTACCCTGGTTGCTATTCACCTTTGGAATGCTTTACCACATATAAAGACTTCTAAAAGTAAAATGGTATTTAAGAGATTGGTCCATGAATGTGAGCACTATCTTAGAATATCTTAGAATTTTGTTTGTGTAATTTTTCATTGATCTGTGCTTTAAGATTGCTTTGCACGAAATTCTGATCCGAGTTCACAGGAAGTTTCCTGTAGATTTTGATTTCCTTGTGACTTTTGAACAATATGCAGCATAAAAAGCTATATCTTTTGATTGCATTGGCTTCTAGGTTTAATTTTTTATAACTTCAAAGTAGACCTGAGTATTTGATACAAATTTCAGTTTATTAGCTCTACTTGTTTCTGAAAACAAAGGGTATTGATAGCCGGATGGATTTCAAAGTAATCCTGTGAGGGTACTGTTTTTTCTTTACGAGGTATGAAACCCTAAATACTAAGATAATGTCTTATTTTAATAATAAATAGGTATTATCATAATATAATGAGTCAATCAACAAAAACCATACAACTGTAGTAAAAACTTAACAAAAGTCAAATACAAATAACAATTAAGAGCAACAGACTGATTCTAAGTTTTAACAGTACTAAGAAACTTTTATGCTGTTGCTACTGAGCTTATATGGCGATAACAGGGTGTTATGAGGGATAGCAGGAGAGTGTGGAGCTCCAAGCCAGGTGACATATCAATTTGTACAAGAAGTATGTATTCAATATTAAACAATTTCAACTAAAAAAGAATGTATTATAATTTATTACATAAATGTAGTTGTGGTATAATATTTAAGAATTATTCCTCATTCACTTAATCTATACATAGTATAAAACAGAGTTCAATCCTGCTGTCTTTACACTGAGATCTTGTAAGTTACACAATGGATTTTAAAGTGATTTTCATCAATATACAGAGTGATTCAGAAATAAGAATACCGATAATAAGATATTCAATTCTTATTTCAGATTTAGGTAAGTCACAATAATTTAACGTCAAGTTATAAATTTTTTAAAAGGTGATTTGTTACAAATGACGGTATTCCGGAATTTTTGAGTACAAACTGCTCTCTTTGTGTATGTCTTAAATGTATACATTACCTGAGAAAAATCCTCCGTAAAGACGATCTAAGCAACCCTCTGCATCTAGCACCAATCTAAAACCACCTGCCTGATTTCTGGAAATTCGGAATAAATCAACACCTATTCCCTCATTTTCTAAAAATGATTGTAAGTCCTGTATGCCCATGATTAGAAGTTACGTCTATGACTGTAAATAATGATTCGATCGAACACGTTCGTTTCGATTATAAGATGGTCTGAAAAGGAGAAGATATTTTATTTTGAAATTTCTATTTTAGCATAGAACAACAGTAACAAAATTCACATTAAATTATACATAGAAGTCTTTGTAAAAAAAACCACAAGAAATAACCATGCAACCGGCGTAATATTTCATAGAAACAAAAATATTTCTTTACATAAGACAATTATGTAGAAAATTATGAATTGAGTATTGACATCTAAAATATAATAAAATTACAAACCTTGATTATAAAACCATGCCAGCAACGTAGAATTAGGAATTAGGATTGCTAAAAGTTTAAAACGGAAGCCATTTGTAATTTCTGTTCGTTTTTTTTTTTTTTTTTTTCTTTATTGAAGCTTTGGCTACACTGACCATCAGCTTAAACATTAAATGTGAAAAGAAATCTTAACAGAATTATACTACAAACTAACACAATGAACTTAAATAATATAATAAAACTTACAGTAAAACTAAACGAAAAACACACATTAATAATAAAAAATACAAACAACTTTTTTTTTTTTTTTTTACAAGTACACTAAATTTAAAGTTATAAGGGACCAAAAGTATTGACATAAAAATTATAAATAATACAATAAATCTCTTGTATCTTCAATAACTCTTTTACATTTAGAGGAAAATTTTTGGAAGGCATTGTATCAGAAAATAAACTAATAAACAGAAGGCGTTGTATATTGAAATATGGACAATTAAAAAATAAATGATCAAGATCGCAATTTGTGAAGTTACAATATTTACAAATAGCGTTGTTACTTAATCTAAGACGGTGAAGATGAGATGGAAATTTACAGTGACCTATTCTTAATCTACAGAAGCTAGTTATAAATTGCCTACCGAAGTATTTTGATTTTTCAAACCAAGCTGTAGTGTTGGGTACAGGTACAATCTCGGCATGCCATTTACCTTTAGTTTCGCGAAAATTATCTAATGATAAACACCATCTTTTGATCATGTTGTCTTTCAAATAAGTGATTAAATCACATAAAGGAATTTTATAGTCGTTTATTGTAATAATGTTTGGAGCAGAACGTGCAAGTTTATCTACAAACTCGTTACCAAAAATACCAGAGTGTCCTGGAACCCAGCAGAACTCGATTACAATATTAATGTTTTGTAATAATACTACTAAGTGTCTTAATTCATAAAGAAGGTAATTTTTGTTAGAATTAATACTTTTTTGTTCTAGAGCTTGAAGAGCACTCATTGAGTCACAAAGAATTAAAAATTTTGATGAATTTAGAAAATTTAAATTACATGAAATATATTTTAAGGCATAGATCATACCTAGAACTTCGGCAGAAAATATTGAAAAATGTGTATCACAAGAATAGACTTTACCAACTTTGTTTGTAGAATCATAAAAAGCAAAACTAGTGCGAGATTTACTTTTCGACCCATCGGTGTAAATTTTAATATAGTCGCTTTTTTCATCTAAAAACATATAAAAATCGAGTCTAGAGTCGAAACGAGACAAAGTTACAGGAATGTTTCGTAGCAAAGACTGAAAATTATATGAAAAACAAGGGCTTAACTTCGTCCAATGCACAATGTCCTGAAACTCGAAATTTAAATATGTAATAGAATCAGTCAAAGTGGGGGCAATTCTGAGTGGAATGTTATTATAATTAGGAATATTACAGTTTTGTAAGTAGCGGATTACAATAACATTTTCGCGACTAACTAAATTTAAGCAGAACTTTTCCGTAATGTAACTACGTCGTACCATTAAAGGAGGTATCCCAGACTCGACTTCAAGCGAATTAATGGGGGACGACATCATAGCGCCGGTAATAACACGTAAAGATTTATTCTGTAAGACATCGATTTTACGCAGCAAATGATTTGATGCATGTGCATAAAAAATACAACCGTAATCGAATTGACTACGAATCATAGATATATACAAGTTTTTTAAAATCTTTGGATCAGACCCCCAACTTACCCCTACCAAAGACCTTAAGATATTTAAACGAAGTTCAGCCTTCTTACAAATGTAAGTTATGTGTGACTCCCAAGACAGATCAGAATCAAGCATGATACCCAGATATTTAACAGTGTTTCGATAAGGAATCACTGAATTATTATAAAAAATGCGAGGAGATATTGTGCGACTGATTCGTTCAAAGACCATAACAGAACTCTTATCTACATTTACTTCAAGCTGAAGGTAATTGCTAAGCATATTACTTAGATTACTAAGACAACTGTTCATAGAGTGCACTCCTTGAGAAATATCATCGTACTCTAAATAAATAACTAAGTCATCAGCGTAAAAGGAATAATTAACAGAATCAGGTATAGCTTTCATGAAATTAATCATGCAAAGAATAAAAATTAAAGGGGACAATACAGAACCCTGTGGAGTACCTTTGAAAGAATTCTTCGATCCAAAAATACTATTGTTAACTTTTAAAGATAAAGAACGGTTGTTTAAAAATTTAAAGATCCAGGATAGAATTGAACCGGGAATTCCTAATGAGTATAAACTTTCGATTAAGTATACATGATTGATATTATCAAAAGCTCCTTTTATGTCTAAGAATACAGCTAAAGTAGATTTATTTTTCCTGAAACTATTTTGGATATCGCCAATAAGGCAACTTAAATTATACATTGTATTCTTTCCTTTACGAAAACCAAATTGATAATCTGGAATTTGTGAATTATGTTCAACAAACCATTCTAGACGATTTTTGAGCATAGTTTCAAATAACTTTGCGAAACAAGAAGTTAGAGATATCGGTCTATAGGAATCTAAATTATTGGAGTTCATGTTAGGCTTTAAAATTGGGACTATCAGTTGAAATTTCCAACTAGGTGGAATAACGTTAGACAACCATAATTGATTATAAATATTTAAAACGATTATTTTTACAGCCTTAGGTAAATGTTTTATAACAGAATATGGGATGTTATCAGCACCAGGTGACGAATTCTTTTTGTTATCTAACGCGGAATCAAATTCATGTAATTCGAATGGATCTAGCATCCATTTTGCTGTCTCGGAACCTTCAGAAGAAAAACATGGGCTAATGTAGTTAGAAGAAACAGAGGACGTTGTTGATGTAATTTTATTTAAGAAAGCTGTTGCATTAGAAGGATTTTTGAAAAATTGAGATTTAGAAGTATTAGAGCCTAATTTGGCAAATTTAAATCTTTTGATATGGTCCCATATAAATTTAACTGGTGTCAACCTATTAAATGAACTACATAGATTAGTCCAGCCTAAACGTTTTTGTTCTAATATAGTTCTTCTCTTTTTGGCATCAAATCGTTTGAATAGTAAATAGTTTTCGAGACTAGGATATTTTTTATAAGAAGAAAAAGCTAGTTTTGCTTCATTGACAGCTCGAGTACAAAAATCATTCCACCAAATATTGAATTTGCGTTTTTTATTATGGCAAGTCGGATGTGACTTCTTAGAAAAAGTTAACAGTATTTTACGGAGAGTGTCGATAAACAAATTATAATTTTGTAAAGAGTCAGAATTTAAGGACAATGAAGAAAATTCTTTATCACAAGCTTGTGAAAATAAGGTCCAATCTATTTTCTGATAGTTGATATTTGGCAAAAGAGAAGTCGAATCAGAAATGTTATGGGAGTTTGAAGACAACTTATGAGTATCGTTACTATAGTATTGTGAATAATCATTATAATAAACATTGACAAAAATAGGAAAATGATTACTGCTCAGTAGATCGTCATGGACAGAAAATGAACAACTGGAACTAATAGATGGAGATGCAAAGGCCAGATCCAAAACATTGCCATTTTGACCATATGGTGCAAATGTTGTAACAGAAAAATCATTTAGGCAAACGAGATTATGAGCATCAATAAAGGAACTGATAATATTACCTCGACTGTCATTGTACCTGGAGCCCCAAGCTGCATGATGTGCATTAAAATCACCAAGAATCAAATAATTATGGCTAGAAATAAAAGAAAAAGAATTATTAAGCATTCTGGCATTAAATTTACCATTAGGAGGAGGAGGAATATACAAACAAAGGATATCGATGGAAAATTGATCAATTGTTAATGAAATTAATAAATTTTGAAAATGATAATTACTTGGAGTATCAGTAACGTTATATAAAAACTTCTCTTTAATAGCGACTGCAATACCCCCATGAGGATGATCAGAGTCCCTTCGCACTATTTTATAACCAGGAATCTTTAGTGTTTTGGACGAATCAAGCCATGTTTCATTTATTAGAATTATATCAATTTCATAACTGTGAGAATGAATAAATTGTTTTAATTGGTCCAATTTACTAAGAATGCTACGGCAGTTCCAATGAATGATATTGAGTTGCTTAATTCCAATGTCACTATCCATAAAGTTATGCTGTGAAGTTGGAAATAAGCAGTTCTTTTATTAGTTTAGATGAAATAGCATTACCAGACTTATTTAAATCTATCAGAGTTTTTGTTATAACACTTATGACCTCATCTGAATTTATAATGTCTGTATATAATACACGTTTCTGAGGTGCATTTAAAAGTTTCAAATTACTGAAAATTTTTGGCTTCATGCTTGTAGAAGAAGATTGCACACTTGAAGGTACAATTGAAGCTGGAGAACTAATTTTGGCTGTTACAGTAGCATATGTCTGTTTACCGCTAATTCTGTCCTTTAATTCTTGATTTTTGGCAGCTTTGATAGGACATGAATTGCTTACGGCTATATGAGCTCCACTACAATTTACACATCTTATGTTATCTTTGTTATTGCATTCTTTGAAAAAGTGATTTCCGGTACAGATGGAGCAAACTTGAGAACTTTTGCATGATCCACGCCCATGGCCAAATTTATAACAGACAAAACATTGTCTAATGGGCTTAATGTATTCTTTCACTTCAAACCAAATGAAATCAAAAATTACATGATCGGGATGTGTTGTGCCAAGGAAAGTAATAAGTACTGTTGGAGTTGGAATCAATGAACCATCAGTATTTTTTCTTAAGAAACGCTTCACACCAATTATTTCATTGTTAGACTTTAAATTATTCAATAAATCTTCTTCTGTAATTTCAATTGGAACTTTTATGATACCCAAACTTTCAATGTGATCAAATGGGATTTTAGCTTGCCAGCTGTGCTTTGACAAGAAAGACTTTCCCAGTAAAAAGGTATTAGCGTCATTTTTATTGCTAAAAAACACCTTAATTATGTAGTTTCCAACAGGTTTAACATATAAAATTCCAGCACATGTCTTTAGTATTGAATTGGTTTTTATTAGATCTAATTTAGTATTGGGTGATATTGAGGATAATAAAATGGGATACTCATTTTTTCTGTCTTCGCTGTAAATATGGTTATAGTCCTTAAATAACCCTCTTCTGGTAGAAATAAAATTTGCAGAGAGTTTGTGAGGGGGACAGTTTTCAATATTGTCAGATTTGCGTTTTCCAACTTTGGAATTGGCGGGATTCCTCCCGCCGCTTTCTTCATTCATTGAAAAAATATATTAATTGAAAGATTAATAACAGAAAAGGGCCGCTTGGCACAGAGTTTAATAATAATTTAAAAATTTCCTGAAATAATTTCAAATGTTCGCGCCCACTTTCCCGCCAAAAAAAAAAAAAAAAAAGATTTCTGTTCGTCCATCCCATAGACTAGTAGTAGTAGTATTTCGACTATGCGACAGGCGAAGGAATTAAGCCATACAGTCAAATCTAAGGTTAGACTATATATGAAGTCCATCCATAGACTAAAATACTATTTCCATTAGAGTTGTTCAAAACAACTAAAATACATTTACACGCTAAAAAATTAGCGTATTAATTAATGCTTAAATTTATTAAAGCGCTAAGTACAATCACGGACATTGCCGCTCTGCCACCCATAAGGCTAGTATCGTTTGCGCTTAGGCTAGCGTAACAATACCACCCGTTTCATTGAGAAATTATCTATCTCATTTACGCACGTTACTTTTTTGGTATCTGTCGCATATTTCTGCGACGTTGCCAATAAGATTTTTAAATTTACTTAAGACAAAAAAGGTTTTAATTAATATTGATATATAGTCTCTGTAAAGCAAAATGTCGATATCGGTTGTAATTGATATCGATATGTTGATATTTTTATGAAACTTCATCCTTAGTAGTATTTACTGAGATCCCTTTACCATATAACTTCTTAAAAATAAAAGTGTCAATTATCAGTACTTGTTTCGTTCGTTGACGTTTTTTTGTCAAAGAAATCGTTTTGTGTTGTATGATATTTGGGGCTCGGGCGTTGTAAAATTTAAAATACAATATTGTTGGGAATGTATTGTAATTCACGAAAATTATAAGTATTGCTCGACTTTAGAGTGCACACCATGAGTTTACAGTGATTGTTATTTTCCTGCATAAAATGCTTTAGACAAAAGGAAAGTCAACATAGTCCAGATCTGAGTTCCGAATAAAATATTGAAATTGCATAAAAATAATACGTTATGCCGGAGCAAAGCAATGATTATCGAGTTGTAGTTTTTGGTGCCGGTGGCGTTGGAAAAAGTTCCCTTGTGTTGCGGTTTGTCAAAGGCACATTTAGAGAGTCATATATACCAACAATCGAAGATACCTACAGACAAGTATGCTATTTAATTTACATCCTTATTTAATGCAATATAAATCAATTTAGAAAATAAATGACTCATCATTCGACTACATGGTTAAGAATATTTATGTTTTTATTTGTTTACATTTCATCATAATCAAAACATTAATGTGTCTTGAAAATTATTAGAATCGTTCAATAATATGCTTTGCAAGATTTTCAAAATGCATAATGCTAACACTTTATGGTCTAGGTCAGTGGTTCCTTACAATTTTTATATGATTGTTGCCCTTATAACATATCACCAAAATTGATTTTACTGCCATCCAACACTCCCTTCATCCCTAGCGCGGCTTTTTACTGGAGCTCTTTTTTATTAATACATATTTCAACCTGTCTGAGGAATAAAGTTATATTTGATTAAAAGTCAAATCTATTTCTTAGTATTTCTAAGGTTTAACAAATATATATATGCATATATATGGATATTCAAACAATTGTGAAAATAAAAATCATTTTGTAGTTCCAAAAGTAACAAGTGATTCAGTATAATAATTAACAACTAGCTCTTTTGTAAAGTAGAAATTAGCACCTTAATGATGTTATTGTTTGGATAGGTTGATTTGTATTCTCCTTCAATTAATAATTAAAAATCTTATTTATTGTCATAAAGTAAAATCTAAAAATCTAGTGGAGTTTCGGCGAAAATCTAAAGGCACAATGTTTAGTTTCCTAAAACAAGTTGAGACATAGCATTATTTAATATGAAATAAATTCAATTTGAGTTTTTCACGATTCGCGATAAGGTCTGGTATTCAAGAATCCAGCTCTGTGAACTGTGTTCCAGATTACTTAAGAATAATATGCATAAAGAATTTTTTGTGTCTTCATTCAAAGTATTTGAAATTACGCATAACAAATTCATCAGCTCTGGAGGAAATTGTGAAATAATATTAATATGGGTATTGAAAGGCAACTTAAGGTCTTCAAACACACCAATATTTCTCATTACTGTACTCTGTTTCAACCTCGAATTTTTACCATATATTCACAATACCAGAGCCCGTTTCCGACTTTAAGTGACAAAATTACATTTGGCTGCATCTAAATTTAAATAATTGTTTGAACAATAATTGTCAAGTTTCACTAGATCATCTTGTAATAAAAGAGTGTCATCTTATGACGAGATAGGCATCAATACGTTTAAACATAAAAGTTGTGAAAATTTAAAACATTGCTCAATATTATTGACAAACTCCATATTATATAACAATCACAATAATGAAGCTTTCACTGCTTCAGAGAGGCGGTTAGATGGCTTGAAAATAACAAAGATTAGAGTACGAGAATCATATATCAACTTAATAAAAAGAGCAGAAAAGATATGAATGAACTAACAAGAAATTGTCCTGTTACCAACAGCTATATGGTTTTTTATGTGTTGCTTAAAAGACTTCAACCATTCATGGAACATATACTGGTTGTTATAACTGTTGGTACTGAAAACGTAGCACATAGACTAAATTTCCTCCAGAACAGAAGTAACTTACGAAGACGTTTTTTTACGTGTTTCGTCAATATGATAGTGGTGGCAACTGGCGAATGTTAAAGCGGGTATGAATAGATGGGGGGCTTACAAACGAGGTCGCAGTGATTAGAGGATTAAAACGGCGATTTTAGGTACGAAATCAGTTCTGACATCTTACAATTAATTTATTTTGCTCAAAAGCATATTAAAGTGCTAACAGATATAGGTAACAAGCTATTCAATGATGGGGAGCGGCTAGTTATAAGTATATCATTAATTCATTCAAATGTCCTCAAAACTGTTTACACCTAATAAGGAAAACCAGTGGGGTGCATTTTCCTCCAAAGACGATACATTGACTTATTGAGAAAAGTTGCAAAAATTTTGTTAAACCACCTTGCAATAAAAACCTTTTTGGAACAGAATATCGCGTGCGCGTTGAAAGTAGGACATCTGCAACGATATTGCCGACTATTAGGATATTCGATACAGAGGAGATCTGCGATCGATATCGGCAATCTGTAATATCCAATTCATATTACAGATTGCAGGAGACAAAATGAAGAAATTGTAAGGGGAAATAGTAAAAGCAACAATCTTATTTCATCATACAAACTTTTAACGTTTATAGTGAACTGTCATACATTATTTAATATTGAGACAGGTTGAAGTTCACCGGGTCGGCTAGTTTTAAAAATATTTTTCGAAATATATCTAAAAGTTATTAAAGATACGCGGGATAGGACTAGGGATTTATTGCTAGTGCAATAATTGTCAGTGCAGTTGATATTCATCATAACCCACTGTATTTGGGGAAAGTTGTTTTTAGCATTAGCACATTATCTTGCAGTTAATTATTATTATATTTTGCATTTTAATTTGCTTTTGCAGGTAATAAGCAGTAATAAAACTATTTGCACACTACAAATTACCGATACAACAGGATCTCATCAGTTTCCCGCTATGCAGAGGTTATCTATAAGCAAGGTAAATGAATATTCATAAGCGTTAGTTGTTATTTTTATATTATTGTAGTATTTTTTTTTTATATATTTTAGTACCTTCTCATACACATCTTGATTAAAATTAGCCATATATTTATTTCCTCAATATGTTTTTGTTTTGGAAATTACATTAAATATCTCACCCAGCGTACCAACCGCCTTCTCCTTTGGCATCCACTAGTTGTTTTCAGGTAGTCCGAGAGTAAAGATCTTGGTAATCTGTAGGGAGGGAGGGCAATTTGCGTGCGGGTCTAATGGAACTGGATATAGAGGATACAGGAGCAATTTAGAATTCGAGTTACGGACCCCGAACCCTTATTACTTACAAGAATTATTGTTTCTGTCACCAGCGAATATCGTATGGTCAACCAGTGAATCTCGTGTGGTCATCTAGTGAAAGCCGCGTGGTTTACAAATTTGGGTGGGGTCATATTTATAAAGAACATCGTACTAACATAAATTAAACAGCAGAATTAGTAGTTGATTAGAAAATTAATCATTTTTAGGTCGTAAACATTCAATTTGCCGAAAAATTTTGTAGTATTACTCTGGGGGTTGAAATAATTTTCCCGTTTCTAAGTACCCTGTCAACGACTAGGTACAAATGAAAATCACTCACAGGCAGCGCGTGGTACATTTCCGACCCGTTAAATCAGCCATGCAAAAACTTGTCACAAAACTTGTCAGAAGTTATCATCTATTAGTTCATTCGCCGACCACGCGTAGAGCTTGAGAGCGAGATGATCCGGCGATGGGATGGAATTGGAAATCTATATAGCAATAAACTGAAACAATGATGGTACCAAATACTACTCAAAGAGACGCGGTCGCTCTAATTGTAATCAAAAAGAGAAATAAATTAAGTTAATAATGTTTCAGGGTCACGCATTCATACTTGTTTATTCAGTAAGCAGTCGACAATCACTGGAAGAGCTAAAGCCAATATGGCAAACGATAAAAGAAATAAAAGGCACAGAGTTACCTAATATACCAGTAATGTTGGCGGGGAATAAATGTGACGAGAGTCCTGAGATACGTGAGGTATCAGCGGCAGAAGGTCAGGCGCAGGCGCAAGCTTGGGGTGTATCTTTCATGGAGACATCGGCAAAGACCAATCACAACGTAACGCAACTATTTCAAGTGAGTATTTCTGTTATAACTAATATAGAATATTATAACAACCAGAAATAAAAAGTAGGTGCAATAGGCGCGAAGATTATTTTATTAACTTCGATTTATTATCATCTAGTTTACGGAAGTAGGGATTTCTGTTAACTAGATGATATAGTTATACATCTGATCCGATTTACTAATCTATCAAACTTCGATGGTGGCTGCCTTTAGGTTACGAAGAATGTTCGTAATCGGTATATATTATTATTTATAGGAATTATTGAATATGGAAAAGAACAGAAATGTATCATTGCAAGTTGATGGCAAAGGGAAGAAAAAAAAAGACAAAGTGGTGAAAGACGGAGGTGAAGCATCGGCGAGTGGCAGGGAGAAATGTCTTGTTATGTAATATGATCAATCATTATTCATCAACCCACCGACTTTTAAATATTACTAACACAGTAATTTTACTTCTAGTCATTAATAATACCCAGGAACGTTGAGCACGGATTTAGTCTTAAGTATTATTCGCATTTAAATAATAGTGTAGTATTATTGCCTTCTGATAAATATTTATTTCCATTATATATGGTGGAGCTTGAAGTTCATCAAGTGCATATTTTGCTATTATTTTGTTATTTACACTAGTTACATAATTGATAATAATGACTGATGTGACAATGATGTGAAGAATTATTCCGATAATATTGTTAGTGCGAAAATACAACGAATTCAAGTCTTTAGGACTTAACTGTTATTCAATTATATGCTGATAAGTAATAAACAATATAGTTTGAAAGTTGCAAGTTGCGTTACAAATTAATACTTAAAACAGGTGTAATATACGCATTAGCTCATTACTCAGGCCGTGACAACTATAGGTCAAATTATTCTAGAGAAAGTACGTAACTAGTCATCAATACCTGTTTCTAGTAATATGAATCAATCATGATTGCCTTAGATTGGACGAACTAAAGCAGTTTAACATATAATTCTATGACACTGGCATAACTACTTTTTATTATAAAAATAATGATGATAATTGTTGACGTCATTCGGTCTTATCCTTATAATTAGGGTCGACAGTCGACATTTTTCTGACGGAATATGTGTCGGTCCAAATGGTCACGGAACGTCATAATAGGCACACCTTTATATTACTTGACATTTAAACTTACACACTACACTGGACGTTCTGTAGCGTATTTATTAACCATGCTTCCGTGAGACGGTTGACAGATCTTTCGTCGGATATGTGGCGACCCTTATACTCGGATTCTGAATTGAGAATTTAAAGTTAAGCACCTCTCAAACTGTGTTTAAATGTCACATACACAGGCTTTCGTTTCTGATTTTAGTTTTTTAATGATAAATTAATAGCAGTTTGATAAAATTAATGTTTTATGCCACGTGAAACGTAAAAACTTAGGTTATTAAGATTAATTAGCTGAGATTTTCTACTCAATTCAGATACCAGCCGTTAATTTCAAATCTTCCGATCAATCGGCGCTAGATTTTATGACATTATTATTAACTTACAGCCTCACAGTTAACGATGAATTTCTTCTAATGATTTGTATATTTTACTAAATCCCATAAATGAATAATATCTGTCGTCTAGTACTCGCGTCTTTATAAGATTAATTTTTGGTCGCTATCCAGTAGCTTAATGCAATTTATTTGATGAAATGTTTTCCTTGGCGTAGTGCCCAAGGACTAGCCCGAGGAATAGGTCTGAGGAGTCAATGTGTCTAGGTCATAAAAGTGTAAGGTTACAAGTGAGGAAACTGCTTTAGTAACCCATAGGCGCACGATTAATGACATGCCATAATTCAGAATATTAATCAAAAAATGTTTCTTTATAATGATTGTGTTTATCGGCAACTATCGTATTAAAATATATAATGCCAAAGCAAGAACATTTATGTGCCAAATTATAGGACGAGTGGTGTAGTGCTATGCTAGCTAAGACCAATTATAAAATCCCTAAAGAAGAAAAAGTGCAAATATCCAATTCGCTAAAGTAGGCACAATACTAAGTTCTGCGACCAAACGTGCTAACTGCTACATATGTGTTTCACGCATTGTCTTAGGACTAGCGCTACATTTTGCAACTGCCGATATTAAATATATTGCGGTAACGTGTTTTACTGCTGTATGTATAAGAATTCATAGTGGAAAAGAGATATAATACATACAGAACACAAGCAGCATAGAGATTGTCTATCACACAGACTAATTACTATTTAAACTTTACACATATCATTACAGCGGCTACATAACTAATAGGTAGGTATATTACGCCTAATATGCACACTTTTGAAAAAAAAAAATGCTGTTACGAAGTTGTTAGTGTTATAGAATTATAAGTGTAGATACGTATGGTTCGACCAAATAAATATTGTCCTATTGGCGCCAAATGGATCTTTAGAATTAATAAAACGCTTTGGCATTATGTATTATTTAATTACGGTTTATCTAGTCAACAAATTGTATAATTAGAAAACGTAATAATGAAATACATTTAATTATCTAGTCATTATACTATTAAGTGATAGCTCTCGCTAGTTTGTAATGCACTTTATTTAATTAATATCATTCACAACATATCCAATTAGATTTGTCCATAGTTAAAAGTTTAAACTAGTCAATAACCACCGTCGGATAATTTATAGTGAAGTAATTTTATGATAAGTGGAATGATAGCGCTTAAATATTTTTTGGATTTAAAGCTAATTTTATAAATGTTTAAATGGTAGACGAAAAATCTGGAAACCATATTGATCAGTAGGTATCTGAAGAGTTTTATCTATTAAAGTAAAGGAGAATGGGTTTCCCATACAAAACAATCCCAGCTTGTCGCAACTGCATTTTTTAAATAAACATATAAAAGTGGCGATGTCTAAAAAACTAGTAACTGATACAAAACATGGGAACTTGAAGTGGATTAATACGGAATAAGGTTTTTTTCGAAAAAAGCTTTTCTCCTCTGAAAAACAATTTTGGTTTGCGGGTCAGTACATATTTGCTGTCCAGCGTCGATATATTGCCATGCAAGTTCTTGAGCACGCTCTGATACTTCGGTAAATTTGTATAATAATAGCATTGTTACTCAGTAATAAGTGCGTTAACGGTATTATACTGATGGAATAATTTTTAAAATTGTTCCAATACTTGTTAGGTTCTTAATGTAAAATCAGATAGGGTTAAGTTTTTCGTTTGGAGCTGGTGTTTTTGCCCATCCTCTTTTACTCCATAAATCACTCGGTAACTATTTGTTTTTGCAACTGTAAAATTACGCTAATCTAACATAATTATAATGCTCGAATATCTCGCCTTAAAAAAAGGACAATTTAAAACACCAACAAACAACCTCTACAGCCTTAATTCTTGATATATTACATAATTTTCAGGTTTTTCGCATTTGAATATTTATATATGATTAGTTCGTCCCGGGGTTTGTAGATTGCACGAAAACATAGTTACTAGTTCGAACTTTTAGATTTAATATCGGTAACGGGCTTGATAAATAGTAAACTCTGGCAGTGCTATTTATAAACAAAGTTTAGCGTCAGAGTAAATTTATGCTAAAACTGTAATTTTAGAATTACTTCAAATTCATATTATACAGAGAATAAGTAAACCTACTACCTTCTAGGAGTATTACTCCCGTAGAACTTCGTACTAAGTTAATCTATGTTAAGTCTCTGTTTAATAATATGAATTTTGACTAAATGCAGTCCCAGTGTGAATTTATTCCAACGTTAAACCTTGTTTATTAATAACACCATGGGACTATAATATTGATCCGCCTTATTTATATTTATGTTATAGCAATCCTCATCCTGCGCTTATAGCGAGTTATATAAAACTAATTTAAGCACCTAGTTATTTATTTATAAAGGAATGCATTGTTTATAAGTTTATTTTGCTTATTGGCAGAAATAATCCGTAAGATTATGCTTAATATGGAAGTATATTGTGGGAAGATTGTTAAACACTGAATTGTTATAGCTGGACCAAAGTTGTTTGATGTTAATTGATGTAAGTTTACTATAGTTTATATTATTATGTTTTTCATAGTTCATACTTGTACTGACTAGCAAAAAATAAAGAGCGGTCGCAAAACTCTCAATTGAATTTTACTCTTAACGGCCTCTTCCAAAATAGCTTATTCTTCTGTTTTCAAGGGGTGTTTTTAATCAGATCATTACGTATATTCGATTTAAGTGCTTGTACCGTATACTTTATTATTGCGTACGAATGAACGTCGAATGTGTTATTTTTCTATAAATTCTATACTTTGATTGTATCTTCCATTATTTTTTCTAAGCCTCAACTTTTCATTATTATATACGATTTATTTACACTGATTGTTATTGATTTTATTTTATTACTTAATATTAAAACTATGATGTAAGGGCTGATGTAAATCTCACAGAACATCCGTCGAGCGTATCATGGAAGTATGCGTATCTTCTGTCAGATATGCACCGACCTAAAAATCTATAGAAGCTTGAAATATAATTTTGATTAAACACAAAACTGAAATAATTATAGCTGTTCTTTATATTGCAGTAATACCTAATAGACTAACAGTCAGTTGCACAAACGTCCATTAAAATTTTCAGTACTTTAAAGTGACATTACGCATACAAATTTGACATTCATTAGTGTTTAAAAGCGTCATTAAACCTTAATGAACGTTTGTGCAACTGGCTGTAATCCTATTTAAAATAAAATGATGTTTTAGGCTAAACACATAATATCTTTTACAGCTTTGGCTAATGGCTTGTTTACACGTAATTAAGTAGACAAGCAGTAAGTAGATTATTAACTTAATTTTAAGTGATTAAGTACCTGTTAACACACAAGTAATAAGTTGCAAACTAAAATTTAATTCTAATTAAGCACATAAGTAGTTAACTGAATTTTAACTTGCTGTTTATTATTTATTTGTGTATTTATACGTACTTAATTACTTAACAATAAGAAAAAGTCTACTTAATTACGTATAAACCAGCATATTACAGTACCATTATATGTGTTATCTAAAAAAATAACTTCTTGTATTTTCAATAGCGTAAATATTTTTTAAATGGTAATTTTTAACTGTCTAGCTATTTATCGAAACTTGAAACAATGATAAGTTGGAAATATGTTTTTAAGACATTCGATGCTAATTAACTTTATGTATGTTGCTCAGATAAAAAGAAAAAGGAAAGATTTTTGATCACTTGGGTACTAGAAAATTCAAATTAAGTTGACAAACATAGTAGTATGTTTTCCATATCCATTTTTATATTACAATACATATTTTATATAACACGAGGCTACCTGTCTAGAAGCTAATTTTTTGGATATACTGTGTCTTTCCTTTTTGATTTTATCTACATTCTGTGCATAGATCCTTGAAATAAATATATCTATTCTGTGATATTCATACGGTCACAACACACTTCCCAATAACTGTAATAACCTTATTACTAATAGTGGTTATTTTATTTAGTTACAACAAAGCTTATAAATGCCATAGTAGGGGCCTTATGTTAATTTATAAATACAGTTTCTCGTCTTTTACAGTATACTTCAATTATCCTAAATAAAATGCTTCTAAACTCTTCGAAATGGTGCCCATTATATTATATGGCAATAATATTATAGTAGTTAATAGAAATTTCATCTAATAATTAGCATTTGAATTGTAGTTTGATCATTAATAATATCATGGACTAATATAATAGGAACATGCCCATAAAATGTGTCAATACTATTTATTAATTATATCATTGTTTAGTGCCCTTAGATGCAAAGATGAAATGTACGTGTTTAATGATTAACTAAACTATAATCAAAAAAATCCTAAAATACGATCTACCAGCTTTTTTATTGATCTAGTGAAAATGCGTTACGAACTATCCCTTCCGCCTTACGGGATGACAGTTGGTTTGTGGCAATCTTTTATGCTAACGGAGAAAGGTTAAAGTGCTCAGGCCTACTCGGTAAAAGCCCTGGCTAGGGGATGCAATCCCGCAACAAAATTTTAATCCAGGTATTTGCGGGACTGAGAGGTGTCAGTCAGTATTTGCGGAATCTCGTATGTTTCTGAAAGTCATTGAGAAAAGAGAGAAATCCTTTGCCATAAATGCATCTACTACAAAATTCAAACAAAAAAAAAATATTCAAAATTATGTATTATACATAAAAAAGATGTAATAAAAAATAAATATTACCTATTACAAAGAGACAATAGATAGTATAGGCATTATTTTGAAATTAACTGCTCATAAAAAATAGCATGTTAATAGTCTTATCTGCCAAACGATTCCTAACTTTACATGCCAGATAGCAGCAGAAAACGCTCATTCTGCTTTGTTAACAGCCTACAACGCTTTGTTAACAGTCAACTGTTAACAAAGCTATAAGCATTTTAATGAGCCAGACTCAAACAAAAAAAGATACTATATCAGACACGAAAAAATAAATCTGAAACAGTAGGTATATATTAGTGTAAGCGGCTTGCATTACTACTCTCGAAGGAGAGTGAGCGGTTTGGTCACGACTGGTGTAAGCTGGGTTGGCAATATTGATTAAGATTGCATTGTGAATTCAAGATTGATTAAAAGAGAATCAAATGTCTTTGCATTTAACTGCACCTATTTATTATTGCTAGAGATTCTTGTGTTAAGTGTCCCCTTTCTTAAAACAAGGTTAAAAATTCCAATAGAAATAATTATGCGTATATTATTGTTGGATATTGTTTTTGAAAACTATTAACCTAACAGACTCAGTATGACAGTAGTTTGTTGTGTTGTGTGACACAGCCGTTTTTTTTATTGTATACCTTTTTTAATTGACCTTTATATGCACATAAATTTAGCTATGAACAGTTATGATATAACTGGAACAGTAAGGACTTCAATGAAGAATTTAAAGTAAAATTGACAAATTATTTAGAAGTAATTTAACAGTGTCAAGTTATTTCATAAAATTGCCGCACCTTTTCTGTATTATATTGTTAGACAATAACTTGAAATTTTGGGTTAACCTGATATGCTACCGTGTGTACTTCTTAATAATGTGTCAATTTTACTAAAAATTCTTCATTAAAGTCCTCACACCACGGTTATTTAGGTACAGGACCAACAGGAAGTAGTAAAATAAATGAGGTTTTTTTTCTAAAAAAATTGCCAACATTGACATCTACTTATTTTTGTTAATAAATAATACATAATTGCATCTGCATCTACTGGGCAGTTAAGTTTCACCTTTACCTAAATGAATGTAGGATAGCCTCAAAGAAGCGCCTCGTTTGTTTCATGTTTGAATAAAACCAGCCCTGGTGGATGAGAATATTACGTAAACGTGATTTTCTTTTTAACCAATTGGGAGTGATGGTTCTAGTTGTAAATATGAAGATTGTTTTGTTACGCTGTTGTTTATCGAGGTTGCGAATGTTTGTTGACCAATATCATAATTATATTGTACCTCCCTAAACATTTGGATAAAAATTTTGAGATTGCTTGAGTAAATACGTGGTTGATCCTTCTTTGTATTTAGGTATTATGCTGGGTGTCGCACGTAGGTTGTATCTCTGTTGTAAGAAACTAGCTATTTTGCCTAGTATTTGTGAATATCGGATTTATTAAGCGGAAATTAAAAATTAGAACTAAACGGAGAACGACTAGATCTACCGCCATATCTTGATTTGCCGTTTAATACTTGCTCATTAATAATTTATTTAATATTTGAAAGATAAGTTTATGGGCGTTTTTCTGGATAAGTTCTTATAAGAGCAAAGATATTTAAATTTATTAATTTCATTTCATTAAAGATTATTTTGTGGTTTTTCGCCTATGGATATCAGTGAGCTCTGGATATACTATGACCTTTGCCAATATACCTTTCGTGGGACACAATGCATAATATTTATGTTATTTAAAATGTTTGAACTGAGTATTTTCAATTTATTATTGTATATTTGATTGATCTTGTGACACTTCTAACTAAGGCATCACGAAATAAAACAAAAATATTAGAAAGTTTTTTATTTTTACCTGATAATTGTTAGTAAAACGAAATATACTAAACATTGATAAATAAAAATAGGCACATTGATTAATTTTTCATTTTGTTAAAAAATAATTGAATATTGATTTCTTATATTTTCACGCGCACTATCCATAAATGTAACAACTTTTGAACGGTTTCATCGCGTTTTAAATACAAACGCGATGAAACCGTTCAAAAGTTGTTTTATTGACGTTTCTACTAAGTTAGACTAAGGTGTTGATTTTATTTTTAATTAAAAGTATAAAAACCAACATATTTTACAATCCGACAGTAACGGTTTTTGAAGGTAGTCTGTAAACGTCAATAAAACAAAATACAAACGCGATAAAACCGTTTAAAATTTTTTGCATTTAAAATCATTGAAGCTAAGAGTATAAAAAAATATTAATATAGTTAATTAAAAGAGTTTGGATATACTTAATAAATAACTTACCAACTATCATATGGCTTCTGTAAGCGCTTTTAAATCTTTAATTTATTGACAGTTACGTTCAAATTTTAATTTATAAACATATGCATTGAAGTGTTCAAAGTGGAATGTCTTAAAAATAAATAACTGGATGTCGGATATTTAGATTTTGTTGCACACTTGTGGTGTAACATGTACCTAAATATTAATTATTTTTTCTCTATCGGAAGTATCCATGCGGTTGACCTCCACTGCGAGTAAAACGGACACGTAATGCGGTATATCTTGCACATTATAGTTTTTGAAATAAGGTTCACTATAAATTTTAATTGTACATGATATACACCATGGCCTTATATTAGGTACCTACTTAAGTAAAAAAATATGTTGTGACAACACTAGTGGAATGCTGGTCGTCTTATAAACTAACTAGCTCTCGCCAGCGGCTTCGACCACGGAGTCCCTAGGGAACTGTTTGTTGAGATCTTTTGCATTTATAATATTAGTAGGATTTTGTTATTTGTTAATAATAGGGTCTTACAATTGAAAATACAGGTTTCTGTTATATGTTCGGAAAATATGAACAATTTTTACTTATAAATATTTAAAAAATTAAATTTTATTATAATAATTTGAAAAATATTAAGCTATAACAAAAATTTGCTAATATTTATGGCATTAAATTTGTTAGAAAAACGCAACAACTATAAACATAAACGCACAAATAACTAAAGATATTATAAAGATTGCCCATACGTTTTTCGTTACCGTAGCTAGGTATAACGTCACTTCATGGCTTGAATTTGTAGGAAGCGTTTCTGGCCGACTAGCAGCAATACCACAAACATTACACTATATCCCCGAAACTATTAATCTGGCATATGTTATTACTTCTACATTATTTCTCAGATATTAAAGAACTATTTATAAAATAAAAAGTAATCAATTAGCCTATTCTTCAGAGTGCAACAACAATCAAGAATTATGTACATAGGTCTATACAGTGGCGTACACACCATACATGCAAATAAGCACTGCATACCCTATCCATAAAACCCAACTAAATTAAACATACATTGTTTAATTCTTACATGTATATTAATTCGATACGAATATTCATAAACTCATGATCATGATTTAGTTAAATTAGTAAAAGTGCCGTTTATTAAATGTTAACAGAACTACTTTAACGTTCTAGCGAGCGGAATATTTTCAACCGACCGCTACGCTGGCGCCGCCATCACTGATGCGTCCGTAAGCTGCACTTCTTAAATCTTATTCGCCATACAAACACGACAACTCAAAACTCGTGTTATACGCAGAAATCATGTGTATGTGTGTGGAAGATTCGTTTTATTTACGGTTTTGAGAGGCAACACTTATCGCAATCTGATTAAATTAAGAAGTTATCAAAAGATCAGCGTTTGCGCAAAGGTACTGAAACGATGGTGAAAATTGGTAAGTTTTTTTCAATAAAGGTAGATGCTGCATACCCTACTCCAAATCTCTAAGCACGCTCTGCACGACTGGGTATGTACATATTTCTTGATTGCATTTTAGATATAGGTGTACCTAGATTAAAATAAAAACGGAAGTTGTCATTACAAATAATTATTAAATTATCAACTTTCCATAACAGGTACAAGTTTTTTCTGCTACATCTTTACGCCGTAGCCCTCGTAGGGCAGGCAGAAAACTGATTGTCACAAGTCATATTAATATTATATTTATAAATAATATCACAGTAGTTATTAAAAGCATTATTAGCCTCTCTGAGACTTTCATAATAGTAAAAACTTATGACATTATTACCAACTGGGCTTATTTATTTAAAGCTTATTATGACTTATTTTTCCATCACCTGCTCCAAACATAAACATAGCTTTCTGTCTCTTTGAATTATTATCAGCATGATGAATTTCTCTGGATTCTAAAGCAGTAGGTAATCGACTAGTACTAGCAGATCTTTTAATTTTAAGCATATTGTTGGATGTGTCTGTAGACGAATTACCATTTTTTCTGTTAATACTTTGCGAATTATCTAAAGCACGAGAATAAACATCTAATATTCTATTTAAAGTAGCACCACTAATTCTATCAATATTATTATTTTCATTATTGCGTACTCCATCATTAGGTCTCTCATCAATTAAATTTAAATTTCTATGCCGTTGCTTAACTCCAAAATTGATTAAACCTAAAAAACTCAAATTAAATGGTATATTCAATATGAAATTAAATGTTATCATTATTAATATGAAAATCAGCAAGACATTGATACATAAAATTAGAAGACTATGGAATATTTTATCAAATGGGAACCATAATCCATCTGAAACAAATGAGATGATAAATTAGAAAAAATAAGTTATCTGATTAATTAACACACATTTTATTTTGTGCTAACTATAAATTCATACCTGTCATACTATGCACCATTGTGTTTACAGTTGCACTAAGTGATACCATTGGCTCTGATAACAGTGTTGTGAACATTCTAATGCAAATTTTCAGTGGATTCATGTGTTTCATAAATATAAGAGGATCAGGTGGAGGGACATCACAGCTTGATCTCCAGAAGTACCAACTACATCTGTCAACAGCTGCCATAAATGTTTCTAATTCTTTTTGTTCTGCCTCCTATAAAAAGTATTAGAAAAGCAATAAGATTTAAACTACCTACAAAATAATTAGATTTTATCTTATGCTAAATTCTCAACAAGTAATATAAATTATAGGTTTATCAAATAGAATAAAAATATAATTTGCAATATACAAACAACAAAGTTAACATATTTTGCTAAAGATAAATTAAAAAGTATAGGAAATTATTTAGATTTCACTAGAATGTTACATTGCTTACTCTTAATCAAGTTCATATGTACCTTGTATGAAATGATCACTTCATAAATATATAAACCTATAAACAGTATAATGAGGACATGTTTATGTGAAATGCGTTTCCAAAGCCAATGCAATAGTCCCATTATAGCAAATCCTCCAAGAACCGATGTGAGGTAAAGCTGGAAAATTATCAAAAGAAATTTATACAAAATTTTCATGATGTAATAATTTTGTATGTAATACAAGTTGCTAAAATACTGTTCACCTTGTATTCTGTCAAATAGTACAATATATACTCATTCCAGGCGAGTACCATTTTCTCTGTCACTGTAGGTTTATAAATAGCATCCTCCACATATCCAATCGAACGTCGAAACATATCATCAGTAAAAGCCACATTTGACTTAATATATTGATCAAGAGTCTCCCAGCGATTTAATTCAAACTTCATTTGTAATGAAATATCTACACTGCCATCTTCATTAACCTGTAAAAAGTACTCTATAAATCTTTTTGAAAAGGAAAACAGAAAATTTAAGTGTCTTTTTAAAAATCTATAGAACTCACTTGATTGTGACCTCCATATAAAATAATTGCTAATGTTCTCTTAAAAAACCAATCTCCAGTGCCAGAGTTTACAGTACTTGGAATTTTCTTCTTCAATGGGATTTTAAGATCTGGAGGCGTATTGTAATCATTCTCAGATGCAGGTGATCCCTTATCATTATCAAAATCCCATGGATCTGGTCCTATTTTTTGGTTACAAGCAGTAAGATGGAATAACCACCAAATTACACAAAGTGAAAACTTGGATATCATAATTATTTTTTCAAGAAAATTCACACTATGAGTAGCCGTAGTATTTTTCAGCAGTAATTAATTAACAAATCATAAAAAGAGGAAATCTAAATTTTTATGTTTGACCAAATAACGTATAAACTGGTATAAACATTCAACAGCACCTACACTATAGTCAAAACTGTCAAATTTTTGTAATTGAATTTAAATCTTAAATATTAACAGTAGAGTTTTAAATTAATTGCAGAAATTTGATATATTACGATAACCTGACGTGCAGTATAGAATATGTGTGTACAATATAGAGTTGTTCAAAACAACAAAATACAGTAACAAGCTGAGACTAAACGCTAATAAAAATTAGCGTGTTAATTAATTAACGCGCTAAGAACAAAATAAAAAAGGTGCGCGACAAATACATTAAATCAACCAGTTAAATCTCGTAGCACGTAATTTATTACATGTCGATCTTTAAACTGAACGTTAGTAACAATAATTTATTGATTAATATTTTATTCTAATACATGTGAAATATACAATTTTGGATTCATTTACCAAAATTTGTCCTTATTTTTATTAAAATTGTAATCTTTATTATGAATACGTACTTATCATAATTAATCATGTAAAAATAAATATCGAAATTTTTACAATTAATACTTTAATTTTTTTATCTAACATAAATTTTTATTTTAACATATTATTTTATTTTAAATATGAACTTACCAAACTGTGTAAATAATACACAATCATATTTAACATGTTACTAACGCGTCCATAAACATTCGCACGTTCACGTTAATCCAAGATCGATGTTATTAAACGTACTGTGAGAATAAATCGTTGACGCGTCCATTAGTGTTCGCGTGAATACTGCCCGTCCGGCTTCGGACGCTAATGATCGTTGCGCATTAACACGCTAGATTTTTTAACGTCTTGTAAGATTAGTGTGTTAAATTCACTCGCTAAGCGCTAATTTGACATTTTGACACTTCCAACATGTCAAATACGTATCTTCTTCTAAGTCTGTGCTTCTTCTTTCTTTACGGTAGGTGATCGGAGCTCGGGCCAGTTAACCTCGGTAAATGCGTGCGTGACCTTAGTCGTGGCCTTGCTGTGAAAATATTTTACGTGTCTTTATTAATTGTATATGTATAAAATATAATCTATGAAGATGTGAAGTCGTTCAATTTAATTTATTTTTAATCAAATGACGTCAGTATTTGTAATCCGACGTGACTATAAGTATATAAAAGGTAGCATTTACACCCGTATTTATAAACAAGTAATTACTTGTCACTAAGTCATTTCTTGGTTAAGTCATTACTTGAGGTTAGAATTCTCAAGCACAGAATCTTATTCTATAGTTTAGTAATAAAGGTTACTCCTCTATGCATTTGCTTAAGTCGTTACTTGACGCTTGTTTCTCTCTGGCAGCATATGGCAACATTTTATTACTGCGTTTCGTTTGATAAGAGAAGATAATAACTTGCATTTTACATCGTTTAATAACTTAAATAATATTTTATAGTGCAATTACAATAAAATTAATAGTTATTAAAATAATAATATCATAATATACTAACGTTTTAAACTATTCCTATGCTAACGTTTAAAGAAATAATCAATCGTTAATCGTAGATTAGGAAATGATAATCGATAGCAACTGATTATTTGAAAAACCGATTAATGGTAATCGATTCCGCACACCATTACTGTCAAATGTGATTTGGTGAAAAAAATATTTAAGGAATCTGATCCAAAGAGAAGTTCTTTTTCTTAAACCTATCAATTAAATGTCACATTTCAACTTTTGATTTAATATGAAAACTTGATGCTGTGTAGAATATAAAAGGATATTTTACCGTTATAAAGAAGAATGTACTAAAGATGTGGCCTTATGGATATTTCCAAAGCCGTTAAAAAATAAACAAAAAAAAAATTAATTGTCAGTTGAGTTTCGTTATACATATTCTTAATCTGTGATTTGAACTGACATTGGCGGAATTGTGTAAATGCAAATAGGCCATGAATTAAAAAAGAAGAAGAAGAAGAAGCGACCGTGCATGTTTTGTGGATAAGTTGTGCTTTTGCTTTCAGATTTTTAACGTACCTTCATCTTATTTTAACAATAACATGTCGTCGATTGATTTTGACCCTTCTATAAAATTATGTCTAAAGTACTTGCACTCAAGTGCACCAGACTCGACTGAACAATTAAGACTTACTCTTGATGACGTTATTAAACAGACCTATGGCAGTTCAAAGACATTAGGAAATGTTCTACCAAAAAAGTATCTAAATGAAGAAAAAATGAGTTCACCAAGATCAAAGCATAAAAGTGAGAAGTCTACCGGCAAACTGGTTCCTATTCCACAGCCAAGCCCTCAACAAATACAAATTCCTGAAAGAGAAAATGATGATGGCTCTGTTATGGATGGGGAGCTGGCTTTTGATTTGCTAGAGGAAGACCTGACATGTGCAGTATGCAGACAAATTGCCGTACAGGCAGGCAATCGTTTGGTAGAGTGTGACGCTTGTCATGCCTTATACCATCAGGTAAACATAATTAAATAATACAAATTATTATTCAGCTGTTTGTGTATTGATGTTCTTACTTTATATTTTTAATATATTGATATTTACAGGATTGTCACAAACCAGTTATAAGTGACAGCGATATGAGTTCTGGTTGGCAATGTGCATCATGTCTTTCTTCTCAAGGATTTACCGCAGGCTACTCCAAAGTCTCATCTTCATCAAAGTCACCTTCACATATATCAGAGTCCACTACACCTGTAAAAATATCTTCAAGTAGCTCAGCTTCATCTTCTCCATCAAAACTGGTTACTCCTAATATCAACATTATATCTGCTGACAAGCGTCTCCAGATTATGAAAAAGAAAGCAGCCAAACAGCATGAGAAAAAAAAGAGTTCAAAATAAGCTGCATGATTAACATTCAAAAATATTCCAATGCGTCTTTCCAATTGTATTAAGTTTAACATAGAATGTATGTATTAACTTTCACAATCACAAATAAATACAATAAATAACTTTACTGTGACTGTTTCTGTCATAAACAATTCATTTAAGGATTCCTTTGCAGGTTTTTAAAATAATATGGTTTCCCAACAAGTGAACTGTCTGACGAGATGTAATTACTAATTTCATGGTCTGTAAGGTACGAATGGTTACTGTAGCCTTGCAGCTCTAAGATTCTTTACGTCTTACCACAGCTTTTATTTAATTTGCGTTGAATAGGCACTGAAACAACTGGACTGATTTTAAAAATTCTTTCACCTAGTGGTTTATGTTTTCACATACACTACTCACTAAATAATACTACTTTTAACAGATTTCACTTGCTTATGTGAAGTTGCACATATGTGGGCAACAAAGGCTATATTTTACGCGGGCATAGTCGCGGGAAAATAGTTGGTCTATAACACTGGTCAACACGATTTTTTTTTCCTGAGTTTATTCCATACATTGATTTTGATTACTTATGCCTAACTAATGAGAATATTTTTTTTTTCTTAAAATTATATTTTTTTTTTAGAAAAATCTAGGGAAAATCTTCCTATTTACACTTCCAGCTCACAAATACAGAAAAATATTCAAAAATGCTGAAAAAGTAAGAATTTTTGGCATTTCTTTTGTGTAAGCTCTAATTTTCTCATATCAGCCCCCAAATATAGGCACACATAATCTTCTCATTACAATATAATGTATTACAATATTATCCTTGATACCTTTGTTCAAAGTTCATTCATTCATTCATCTTGATGTAAAAGTCCCTTTGTTCTGAATATTATCTTTAAAGGGTTTAGCCGGATACGTATGACGAGTCGGCCCCCAAATGGGAATCGATATTGAAACTTATGTTTTAATATCGACTTGATGTTCAAACACGATTTATGTACTTTTCGCGACCGACTTCCGCTTTGACCTTGAGATAGAGAGCAAAATATCCGTATGCTTGACTATTACTAATTGTGATATATCTCTAAAGCTAATTAAGATAAAGAAGTGAAACTAACGCGAGGTGTTAGGTTACATTACAGAGTATATCACATATATTTTTTTATAATTTTTAGAATAAAAAAATACATTTAAAAAATAAAAAATAAAAAAATCATGTTTTTTTTTCTAAGTTCTCTGTGACTTACAATCACGAAATTAATATATGTTATGCTCCTTTGTGTGCTCTATTACCCATAAAAATTGCGTGAAAAAAAAGTTGGTGCAACACAACGAAAAAAAATTATATGTGATTACTGTCTTATGGTATACCCCTGTATTATAAGGTTTTCACATTACATCATTGTTTTTTTTTTCGAAATTTCACATCAGCTTGTTTTAAAACATAAGTAACTAGTCTTAAGAGATGGGATAATAGTTAAAAAAGAAATGAAAAAAAAAACAGCCAGTGTTCAATACTTATTATTATTACTTTTTCGTGTCTATCAAAATACAAGAAACAAAATATTAATCATCGTCACTGTTGTAATTAATTACAATCGGAACACTTTGAGTCGCAAATAACTTAGTTAGGACCTCAGTAGGACGTACGATTTTGGACAAATATCATCCATATGATAGATAATAAATAATAGCTGCTACATGAGAACAGCATCCCACTGTACGTTTGCCATTGGGGCAATCACAGCAATAACGAAGAATACTATTGTAGTCATTACCTTCGGAAATATAGTGAATGTAAATTCGATAGACTTTTCTATTTATATGTCTTGATTTTACTTCTGCTTTGATGATATTAGGTGCTGATTTCACATATTGTACTGAGAGATTATTTTGATCGTCCATTATTTCGGCCAAGTTAAATGCTGCACATTTAGAAGTAGAAGCTTTTTTGTTAATATATGGGATAAGTCGACACTTCTTACAAAAAATATCATTAACTATTACGATTTTATTCAAACAGTCACTAAACACTTTAGCTTCTTCTTCATTCTTTATAATTTTTTTATAACCTCCTGGTTATCTTGGTTATCCTGGTCTCCTGGAATCTTACACAGGTACTTGTTACAATTTTTACACTTTCTCGACATTATTACTTAATAATGATTTGGTTCGATAGTTAATAATTTCAAAATGCTGATACAAAATACCTATGTCAGAATTTGAGTCCCAAACTGCCTTCTTGTGTAATACAAATGACTGCTACTTTAGCTAAACAAACGATGCAGTAAACAGCTCGATAACAAGTTCGAACTTGTTTGTTTATACACTCACACTACAAGGCGCGAATCACATATAATTTTTTTTCGTTGTGTTGCACCAACTTTTTTTTTATGGGTGATAGAGCACACAAAGGAGCATAACATATATTAATTTCGTGATTGTAAGTCACAGAGAACTCAGAAAAAAAAACATGATATTTTTTATTTTTATTTTTTTAATGTAATTTTTTATTCTAAAAATTATAAAAAAATATATGTGATATACTCTGTAATGTAACCTAACACCTCGCGTTAGTTTCACTTCTTTATCTTAATTAGCTTCAGAGATATATCACATTCAGTAATAGTCAAGCATACGGATATTTTGCTCTCTATCTCAAGGTCAAAGCGGAAGTCGGTCGCGAAAAGTACATAAATCATGTTTGAACATCAAGTCTATATTAAAACATAAGTTTCAATATCGATTCCCATTTGGGGGCCGACTCGTCATACGTATCCGGCTAAACCCTTTATCCAAGTGAGAATGTAGCATATGTACTTTAAGGGACATTCTGCAACCCATGAGTTTGAAGCTGTGAAGCATATCAGAAATAAGCTCTTTATAATTGTCAGCCCTTCTATTGCCAAGAAAGCCATGAATCACTGCTTTAAGGCTAAGCCGCACTTGTTTTTCGTGGTTATTCAGTAACTGTACGAACTAACTTCTTCACTGGCTATTATTTTCTTTATTTGTAAATCGACGAAAATACCGGCTTTAATTTTAGCCTCTGAAAACATCAGAAAAAATGATTTTAAATATTGAAAAGCTTCAGAGTTTTGACGAAGAGCCTTCTCAAATTGTTTCATGAGACCTAATTCTAAGTGCAGTGGAGGCATTAAGACATGTTCGGGCTTAACAATTCGTTCACTTTTAACTTTATGTTTTCCTATTTGAAACTCGGTTCGTGGGGGCCATGAGTGCTGTTGGTAGTGAAGTACGTCGGCCCTACTATCCCATAAGCAAAGGTAACACGGATATTTTGTATATCTGCCTTGCATTCCGACTAGGAAACCAACCATCTTGAAATCCCCTATCAATGCCCAGGCATACTCCTCATACTTTAAAGCTTCATACCATTTTAACGCTCTCGTAATTTTCTTTCAACATAACAGAATGAGCCAGGGAAAGAGATGGATAGTATGTCGAAGAACTACTTTTAAGCTTTTTGTAGAGCAATCGATAAATAAACGCCATTCAGAGGGAATAAGCCTTTCTGGCAAATTCTGCCAATATATATATATATATTTTTTTTGTTATATATTGTACAAAAGCTAACTTTGTTAATTGTGGAAAGTGTTTTTGGAATAGAAAATAAAAAAAAAATCATTAAATAACAGAAACAGAAAAAAAATGTTGACCGGTGTAATAAACTTATCATTTTAAAACTGAGTACTTTATTTGTTTAATAATACAAATTTAAAGAATATTGGGGTTCTGAGAATGGCTCACAAAATAAGAGCTAACAAATTAGTTACAGTTGCACAAAGTTAATTTTTACAGATGATTGTCCTCGGCTTTCCGAATGGGAGTAGAAGCCGAAGGTGAGTAGAATAAGTATAAGGTTTTGTAATTATTATATTTGATCAATTATATATATACTTATCATATCAATTATATATATATATATATATATATATATATTTTTCTATGAAATAAATTTTCCGCGTGCCTGGTTGCTCAATGAAATACATCAAATCACTCGTAAGTAAATTCTAAGATACTGAGTCTATGCCGATCTCGATCAGAAAGAATGATTATCAACTAGCAAAACTTAAATGTCTCAAAACGACCACGTTAATTCAAACGCGGAAAAGTAATAATTCAAAATATTAGCGGCCAGTATTGATCATAAATCGTCCGGAGAGTAACTATAGTAATGTGCACGGACGTTGCAGTACCTAAACAAAATTACATTCCTTAATCGAGCTTCTTCCATTACATTAATATTTTATTTTATTGTGTTTTACTTTTAATTCAAGATCCAGTCTTTTAAACAGGTCGCCAAGTTTCATTGAGCTGATTCTGAGTGCCGCGAAGTTATTGAGTCGAATGAAAATCATTAAAACCCAATAAACTCGTTCGAAGCCGATTGAAGACCAATGTATATCAATAAATTTAAATAGTCCATTGAAGTCGATTGAAATGATGTGAAACATACTCATTTTTCACGATGGATACATTTTTAATTATTCTATTTTTTTATTCTCTACACGTAATCGAGAGCGGGCAGAGCACTCCAAACATGCTGGCGAACGCTATAACGAGAGAACAACGAAAAAAGAGAGGTGTTATAAGTTTGATGTGTATGTAGTGGCACTGTAGTTCCTAGTACTCCCAAACGGGTGAACCGATTTGGATAATTATTATTTTGTAAGAAATGTAATTTAATCGAAAGTGTTCCTAACCATGCTTTATGAAAATAAGATAAGAAGTTTAGGATAGCTACAGATACTTTACCAAGACGAAGTAGCAACTTTTTCAATTACTTATTTGTACTTACAAAATCCTAGCTTGTAAACGAATACCTTAGGCCGATTTGATTTTATTATAAATAGCCTCTCTCTTCAAGCTCATTTTGAGATAGTTATATTAATTTTTAGTATCTATTACAAATATAAAAAGTCTGAAATAAAAAATAAAATTAAAAACCCCCAACCCAAAATATAAATAAAATGCGCTTGTCTAAACAAAATCCTTAAATTACAGATGTTCCAAAGAACGGGCTTGGCTGCAAAGAGAATGTTGTTTAGCCAAGTTTTATTATTTTATATTTATGATTATAATAAAGATTATTTTTATACTTTTTAGAGTAATTCTGGGCGGGTTCTTTTTTACAATTTTTATAATTTTTATGCACTGGGCCT